CTTATCCAATTGTGGGATAACAATGCCTTAGTGATTTTATTTATACTATCAATAATCTATAGTTCGAATTTACTTCAAAATATATTAAGTATTAAAGCATTCGTTATGACAAATCTCACATTACTCATTAAATGTTCTTTCAAACCTCTTACTTCACTCACGCATACACTCAGTACCCAAACCTATTTAAATATATTTATAATTTAAAATAAACAAAAGACTAAAGTTCAGCTAATTGCACTAAATAGTGAAAACATAGAAAGAACTTGAATAGAAGAAAAATATTGTTATACTAAAAAGTCCTTTTTTTTGTTAGCCTTTTTGCAAGTCCCTAAGTTTTTGTATTATATGTTATAGTGTCGAGTGTAATCTATACCCATATCTTTTAAACAAGACTCCAAATAGATTTTTTGAACTTTATTTAATAATAGTTAGTGAAAAATAAATATCACAAGTAAAAATCTGTTCAAAACACATTTAGAAGTTAAAACTGTTCACCCGTTCATCTTATCAATACTAAATTTTTGAAAATATATCTAAAAATATATCTGGCCTTTGGACATACTTGAGGAACAAAATTCTGAAGTATAAATTCATGCCACGAGTACCCCTTAACTTGAATGATGGAGGGTCCCTTTGATGTACCTTCTTAAAAAACACAGTTTGTGCGATGAAGTCTTCTAACTACTATCTTTATAGTGGCCCTTTAGGTCTGACATATGGACAGTGACTCATCCGTGGTGTTACAAGTGACCATTATTTGTGCTTAAGTGAGCTTTGTTGCAGAAGGCTTTTTGGGTTAAAGTATATACAATTCAATTATGGGTTCAGCAAGTTTTTTTCATATATGTTAAAAATATTCTAAAAGTACGAATATACTATACTTAGATATTGGTAAGAATCATTAATATGATTCTTACTTAATCTTTCGTACAAGAGGAAATTGGTAAATTATGCAAAACATGAATATGTAGAAACGCATCTTAATTAACTAATTGTAAATCTTATAGACGATAGCTACAATATAAACAGAACGAAGAGATTTTAGATCTACAATACAAAATTTATATATAATTTGAATAATGTATTATAAGTAATAACAATTGAATTAAGAGAAGATGGTCTCAACGAAGATTAAATATTCCTACGTTTGTCTTCTATCAAAAATCTCAATTATTATTGTCAAAACTGACAATTAATTAGAATATAAACAATTACAACTTCAACTTGCTATTTTTTTGGTAAAATATAGACACAAAAAATTATTTCTTTTATGGAAAACGAAAAATTTATCAACTGTTTTTCGTTTATTGTTCCCTAGAAGTTCAATGCTTTATTAGTTACGGAAAGGTGTCAGGAAAGTAAATCATCATTTGTTGCAACTGTTTCAGAAAGTAGGATTTCTTAACCACAGTTAAATCTTTTAAATCACATGTCATAAGCCATAAATTTATTGTTTGGTAAACTCTTAATGTTATTAATTTTCATTATCTTTCAGAAAGGTTAATTAAAAAAGTTTTTTGTACAACAGTTTTATAATCATTACAGAAACTCATCTCATAAGCAAAGGCACAAACCATGCTCACTTTCAATGAACATAAAACTGTAAAAAAATTCATTTTTATTATACTAATCATATAAAACAATAATTTATAAACATATACTCTATTTCCTTAGGAGTAGTCAATAAATGAGCAAGGGAGGGTCGAACTTGAAGAAATCTTCTTTTTTATAAGAAGACAAACAAACAAAAAAGTTATTGTATTGAAAGAATTAACATTTTTTTTCTTATTGTCAAGAAAAACTCATCAAATTAGTAGTCTGGTTTGAATGCTACACACAACTGCAAACCCAAAGACCTTTGCCTTAGACTAGGCCTATGCCTTCGCCTAGACCTATGCCATCGATCCATAACATTTACAAATTGCTTAATTTTCATTACAATTAATTAATGCAGTCACATTTTTAAGGAGCAACCACCGTCTGACATCCTCCTAATGGCTACATTCATGTCCATCCATATCTTATACTGTTATTGGCGTAACCAGGTAGCGGGGCTACCTGGATGACAATATTTTAAAATTTCTCTTAATTTAAATAGACGAGCAAACAAAAATTTAACCCAGCCCATGCATTACAGGTATTTATAATTCATTTAATGTTATCTACTGCATATATCTTCCCGGGTTACAATAACCGCAGGAACTGAGCCAACGGCTCATTAATAAGAACCAACATATATTATAATCAGACTAATCTACGATAATTAAGAAATCAACAGATTTTAGCTTATCGTTTCCTGTATAAACGTACACTAAAGGGATAGAATATCATTATCATCAATGAATAAATATAATATCAACTGACAACAAATTTTAAACTAAACGCTAACAGTATTAATTGACTATTATATGATAATAAGTTAGAAAGGCAGTACACCGTATTCTTCAATACAACAGAGAACAACAGAGTTTCTTTTACACTAGTTATAATCAGAAAAAATTTAATAGTACTTTTCTTTCCGAATTTTCCGAACCTTATATAAACCGTTCTTAATAGATTTTGTTAAATAAATATGTTTACACGTACATGCATACGTCATATTTCGATTGTTATTACTAAATAATTCAATTTACTTAAAAAATTGTTGAGTAAATTTTCCCTAACTTATTTTTGCAAGGTAAATTATGAAAACAGAAACCTTGAAATCCTGCTTAAGGTATGAAGTATATTTTTAAAATGTTGGATTCTGAATAATTGTTCATTTGTAATAAACTATCTAATGATAAAATTGTATACAATCTATATAAATATTTTATTATTTAAATATTTTTAATAAATTATTTTTTTGATATTTAAACTTAGTTCAAAATAAAACAAAAATAAAATCTAAATTTAATTTATAAAATAATGTAAACTTTATTTTAATAATTTGTTCATTGTATATATAAAATTTTTAAGTCTTTAACATTTCGTTATATAATAAAATCAATTTAATAAAAATTTTGTTTTACAAAATAAATGAACTTGAATTGTTAATTGTTAATTATAACAATTCTTAATTAATTAATTAATTTAATTAAATGCAAGAATGGACAGTTTTTTTTAACATAGTTTCAAGATTTTCTTTTTATATAAATTGCTTTTAAAATAATTACATTAAATATAATAACATTTAGATTATAGAAAATAGTGTCCATCTATAGTATCTATTGAGTTTTAATTAATTAAAATTACCGCATCGATTTTTAATTTATTGAACTGAAATGCAACAGTCGACAGTTTTTAAATATTTTTTTCAATACTTTTTATATAATATATTTTGTAAAGAAATTATTTTAAAAATAATACGGTTAAAAATTACTATATTGATTAATTTATTAATTAAAATTAAATGCAACAATGGACGGCTTGTTTAAGATTTAACATTTGTTTAAAACTTTTATTTATATTTTAAAATTATTTTAATACAAATATTTCGGACTACTTTGTAGAACATTTTCAGTGAAATTATTTATAAAACTGTTTCCGCTTTAATGTTTTTTATTTGCTTATTAATAAATATGTTATACATTAGCAATTTTTGCTATTCTGCACATCTTTAGAACTTAAAGATTGTAGTCTGTGGACCACTAAAGTGCTAAAGGTGACACTATATTATTGACCTGTTGTTATAAACTTCTTCAGTGTATATTAGTATTACATTAGCATTATTTCATTATTACAACTCATAGTAATGGTGTGACACATGTTTTTATCTTTCATTACTAAATTAGTGAAAGTTTATGCAATTTGTTATAATAATAAGAATATTAATATAATGCAAGGAATATACTTTTAGACTACATCAGATTCTTTAAATACTAGCACAGGAAAATACTTTTTAAGGCACAATGGAGTTATAAGTAAAAGCAATATATATGTATATACATATATAGATTTGAACAATAGTTTCCTTACTTTTCTAATTATTTAAAATATAAATTTTTAGTTTATAGCAACTTTTTGTAAATCGAATTTTAAAAACATTTTCAATACAAGAAATTATATACATATATAAAATTTCAGAAATTTTCTTAACGATAGGTTTCCGTTTTCAACTATTAAGATATAAACTCAATATAAATTTAATATAAAATAATATCAATATCTTCCACGCAACTATTTAATTATGTCTGATGATCAAAAGGTTTAAAATGAATATGAATACGATAACATAAATTGAGATTCGATTTTGTATCTAATGAGTTATTTATTAAAATATATTATTTTTTTTTTTTTCAATTGATCCAAAAAATTTCATCTTAATGATCGTTATTCATTGGCACAAAAAAATAAATAATTTGGACCCATTAAAATGAACTGTTATGCATACATATTCTTCTATATAGAAATATTTACAGTCTATGATGCACTATACAATCAGTACTATAGTATATTTAAGCAATTAAGTAATTGATATGTAAATTATTGAAGTGACTAATACAAATAAAAAAAAATATTTGAGCTTGAGAATATTGTTCTAACTGTAGCGTTATGATTCATTGTGCTGTTGATTCAGTCAGTCTGTAATATAAGAGCCCCCAACTCCAATTTATTTATGTAAGTACCAACTGAGTCTATGGTTGTTATTACTTTTAAGATTTTAACCCCCCTTAAAAAAGTTATTAGCAGTTTTTTATATGTAATTTTATTTTAAGCTTCTTTGAGTTATTACGTCGAAGTATTCTAAAGTCGGTTTTATTTTTAAGATTTTAACTTTTATTTGGATCGTATTTTTTTGTATATTCCTATACGTATTTCGGCAAATTCGCTTTTACTTTGATCAAGAGAATTGCTAATATCTCAGGAAATAAAATCCTAAAAAATAAATTAGACTTTAAAATTTTTTTATAATTGTTTTCAGTGGAATTGCATAAACTTACATATATTATATATTTTCATATTTCTAAAATTTATTTACAAAAATTTTTGAAATGCATACAAAATTTGTGGACGGTTTATATAAAATATTGGAAAGATTTTGCTGAAGTCTTACACTGCTTTAATCATTTTCATTATTTAATCTTAATTGATTTTCCAACTGCAGAAACTTCAATAAAATTTTCCTACATATGAATTCGAATTTTATTTGCTTATATTTTTACCATACTTTTACTTACTTATAAGACATAAATCCTTGATGGGAACTATTCCTATACTAACCATCTCCATGTAGTCATTCAAAACGTGACTGCGAAAAGTTGAATTGTTTTCGATATCGTTGATGCACATTGGCCTCAATCAGAAAGAGTGCACCAGCAACTAAGGATAACACTGAACCAACACATGCAAACACAAATGACCAACCAAACCAATTGTTGGCATGTTCAGGCATCCAACCATTACGATTTCCAAAACATGCAAACACTATAACCGCTATAGCAGCACTGATACCAGTACCAAGCTGTATATATCCTAGTGAATTTATAAGTATTATAAAATATCTCTGTTTCGGTTCAGCACACAATATAAATATTAAAACACCAATTCCAGATATTAGCATACCAATAAATGCTATCGTATAAAATATTTGTGTTACAATCATAAATGCAGGCATCAGAAAACCACGTATTTGATCGTAGCCTGTTGTGAAAGGATCATAGACCCAACGGCAGCCAACAAAAAACCTGTCTTGACTGTCATTGTTGACATCTTGCAGTGAACGAAAACAATGCACCCATAATCCAAGACGATCCAATTTAGCGCCAGTTATGCGATAGTCACTAACAAGCCAATTGGGTGTGGCGAATGCTATTATTATCAAAGCAAATGCTAGCAGAAATATACCAGCACCAGCATTACCAGATAAAGTACGTCTTTTCATGTTTAAAATGGGTGAAATATTTTCTATTTCATTTCGGGTGTTATCAGACTTATTTTGCATCCTTTCCTTATAGTTTTGCGTAAGATTTTCTTAACTTTAAGTGAATGACACTTCGCGCTTGTGCAACTACTTAGAAATTGAAAACAATTCTGGCATTGCAAACAAGTGCTAAACTGGCAGGGTTGCAGTTTAACTAATTATGTTATACTACTTTATTCAGCAGCTTGCCATGTTTACATTACGAACTTTGCTAAAGTTGGTTACCAAACGTCAAACATTTACATTAGGTCTGTTCCACGAGCTACTCGTTGTAACTTTGAGTAACTCTGTGCATTCCACCAGCACATTTTCGAGTAAATAAGAGCATCTAAGAGAGCATAACATCTCTATCGATATATAAAAATAATACACAGACTTTACTCATACATTTTATTTCAAGTAAACTTTGTGTTGATGTGTGAACCAGCTGATTTGGTTTGAATTTAAATTTTTGTATTATTTATTTGCGCGGTACTGGTGTTCTCTTCAGACTTTATACAAAGCTGTGTAAAGAGCGTAATTTGGCACTTTATTTGTGTTACGCTCTCAGTTTATACTATACTTATGTTTTACTTAAGTTTTACTACGAGTAGCTCATGGAACAGATCTATTATCGATTAGGATTTTTATTTTAACATATGTTGCTATTTTTAATATACTGATGAGTTTGAAACTGGAAACGTTATTATGAAAACCTAGGTTGTTATATATAAATAAATAAATTATTTAAAAAAATAATCTAATAAACTGAACAGAAATGCTTAATATTTATAGAATTATCAAAGTTCTTTCTATTGATGTATATAAATTAGATCTCTAACGCGTATTCTTCAAATTACACGAAAAAAATTAACAATTATTAATTATTTGAAAAGTTTATTTTGAAAGTTGGCTTCGTCACAAAATTAAATCAAGATTGCAATCCAATTTTATACAAAAATTCGACAATCGCAATTGTACCTGTAATTTGTACACAAAAACAGTTATAAAACTAATTCGTAATGGTACGAATTAAAGCAAAATCAATCAAAACACATTTTTATATTTAATCGCAATTACAAAAACTTAAAGTTCAAAAATAGAATAAAATTATGTTTTATATATAATTTTAGTAATAAATTACAATTACTTATACGATATGAATCAGCTATGAAATATTTGACATTACGCATTTGTGCTTAGAAAAAGTAGTAGAAATATTTCTACGTTTGCTACATGGCAACACTTTAATTTAATTTGGGTGTTTGTCATAAAAAGCTGATTTCATACTTTTGTTGCTGCGTAGAGAAGTTTTTGTTGAAAATATAAAAGACATGGAATTTCCGGACTGTCCACCAAGTCTTAAGCAAATACAACATTTTTTGAAAATAGCACAAGAGCATGATGCCAGAGACATTATCGTTGCATATTGGTGTCGCCTTTATGCCTTACAAACGGGCCTTAACTTGTCGACACAGAAACCGGAGGAGACACAATTGTTATTAGGTAAGTATTGTCGGGGAGTAAAACAAAAAGTAAATGAATCATATTTGTTTTCATTTTAGCTGTTATGGATTGGTTGGAAACGGTAAAAAAAGAACATGCAGATAACGAAGCAATAACAAATGAGGTAGCAGCTCAAGCACATATGGAAAACTATGCACTGAAACTATTCCTTTACGCAGACAAACAAGATCGAGAAGGTAATTTCGGCAAGTAAGTTTAAATACAAACTATTTGTGCTATGAAAACTAAAACTACGATTTTAATTTTAGAAATGTAGTTAAAGCATTTTACTCCAGTGGAGTTTTGTACGATGTACTGCAAACGTTCGGCGAACTTACGGAAGAAGCAATACACAATCGTAAATATGCTAAATGGAAGGCAGCATATATACATAATTGTTTGAAAAATGGTGAAACGCCAGTGTCTGGTCCAATGCAAGACGAAGAAAATGAGTTTGCTGACGAGGCATCAGGTGCAAATGCAGCAGAAAATGAATCACCAACTGCAACAACACCAGCTGATGAAGAAGAAGCACCACCGGCTGATGAAGAACCAGCACCACCACCGATAGATCCATCTCCACCAAATACTACGCCACCTACAGTAGATGAAGTACTAAATAACCCAAATAAATTGCCTAGTCCACCAGTTGATGAAGAAAAACCAGGTGGTTTTGAAGCATATGTACCACCAGCACAGCCTCATCCAGCTTATACAGCACCAACACCAGTTGAAGGTTTGCAATTGACTCCGGAACAAATGATCAAAGCTCAAAAATATTGCAAATACGCCGGCAGTGCTCTTAACTATGATGATGTCAAAACCGCAATTGAGAATATGCAGAAAGCTTTAACATTACTAACTACGGGACAAGATAGTTAAATAATGACCTTCTCTTGTATTGGTCTTCATAGTATTTATTAAATCTCACATAATTAAAAAATTGCTTTCTGTATGTTAACCAAGGTTGCACCTTAAAATGCTTTAGTATTTAAATTTGCTTAGCAATAAACAGTTTTAACTATTATAAATTAAAAGTCAATGTATCTTATTTTTATGTAGCTGCAATTAAATCTAAAAATTAACTTAATAGATCGCGATGTTATGAAGACCTGTTCTATGTAAAGCATTTAAAATTTATAAAAACACTTGTAGTTTTTATCATTTTTATTAAAATTTTTACTTTCACAAAATTATTTTATCCTTAGAATCATTTTAAATTGTAATGATAATGGTGAAATGTACGAATAATGACAAGTGCATGTTTAGTTTCATTCCTAGTAGAGCGTCTTTTAAATAAGTGAACACACCAGTTTAGGTTTAAAAGTATTTTAAAAAATAAATATATACATAAAAATATAATAACCAAAAAATTTTGGCACACAAAATAATTTGTAGAATATTTTTTTGACCGTGAAATAACGAAATCTTATGACATTAAGCATTTAAGTGTGAATGGAAATTGATGCATGACCAGGGAAGGATGAATTTAAAATTTAATTTAAAATTGCCATTCTTAAGGTGCTACAGTCATTTATATAAGGTGCAAGAAGCATTTTTTTATGTAATGCAAGTTTCATTGAAACAAGTTGTGCGTTTCATTTTCATTCATTAATTTAATCCTGTTTAACACCATTTGCTTGGGCTTGATTAGCAGCAGCCTGTTCTTCATCTCTTCGATTTGTCTGAAAGTTAAGAAAAAATAGTGTTATTACTTAAAAAATTTATTTTTCATATAAATATATTTTCTTTACCTGATACCATACTACTAAACGACCACCTAACATAAATGTGAAGACAAGCGCTGGGCCGGATCTTTCAAAGGGATCGCTCACCATCCAGTGCTGATAAACCCCCAAGACCATTAAGATTAGTAATATTACATTGGCAGCATTTTTAACTCTATCTGTTGGATTAGAAAATTTATATCATTTAATTAATTAATTAATTTTCATCTATAACAATTAAATAAGTTCTCTGTCTGTTTTACTTACGATATGGAATGAGTGCCATGGCGAGGCCACAAACAATTTCGAGTATACCAACTGTCCTACGATACCATTTTGAAGGAATTTTCAATCCAAACAAAGCAGCCAATGGAAAAACTTTCGCATATTTTACATATTCAGTTCGCTAGAATAAAAAGAGTTTATTTTAAATATATATTATTATTAAAATTATTTTTACATTGTTTACATTTTTTTTTGCTTTAAATATAATCTTTATAAAATGCACTAAACATGGTATTCAAAGTAGTCAAAAGTATTTATATTAAAATATTTTTTTAAAATATAAACCTAAATTTTAACAGCTTATTTATAATTTCAGTTTTTAAATAATCGACTTAGTTAAGTTTAATTTTAAAGAAATTGTTAATAAACAATAACAATGACCACAATAATCTCACTGACAACTAATAATTGTCAGTGAGATTGACAATGATATCTCAGACAACTAATAATTGAGTTCCATACATACATATATACTTAATAATGATCAAAATCGTTTAAATGTATGATAAGGCATATGTTTCAGAAATGAATCTGATGTACTATGAATTGATTTTAAAGTCGGTTTCATTTTTTAGGATTTAAATTCGCTTTTGCCTTCATCAGGAGAATTCCTAATATTGATGAATTTGTTCCTATCGTAAACTTGTTACATATCTATAACCAAATGGTTAAATATACTCATATATAAAAAATAACATTTTATTTTCCTTCGATTGATCCAGCGCTTACTTTTGTTTACCGATTGTCATCGTAGTACTATTATTCCAAAAACATTTTCATCATCATCAAGCCTGTTTAACAACAGTCTTCCATTCTTCTCTGTTTTTTGTTTTTGTTTTCTAATTTCTTATGTTCATTTCTTTTAAGTCCTGCTGCACACTGGCTTTCCATTGCTTTCTTGGTCGCCCTCTTCTTCTGCTGGTTTCTACTTCGTTCTCATAAATTTTAAGCGACACTCTCATATCCGGCGTTCTTATCACGTAACCAACCCATCTTAATGGCTGATTTGTCATAAATTTGTTGATTGTCTAACCTTTAGCTAGCCGTTCTGCCTCGTGGTTGTATCTTATGCGATACATCCCGTTTTCTTTCACGGGTCCAAAAATAATAAAGCTTTTTAGTTTCTTTTATTTTTTTACTTAAAATCCGAGTTTTCAAACAACACCTTCAAAGTAATGGATATTTTTGAATTATAGATATCCAATTTTTGTACATCCAAATTTAAAAATTTAATGAAAATTATTAACTCATGTTAATTTATTGCTGTGTAAGATCCATATTAAAACATATAGAGTATTAAACTGTCAACTCTACACTTAGCAAATTTCTGGCTATAGACCTATGTCTAACTGTTGAAGGCCTCAGCATTCAGTGCTGCGAAATATAATTTATTTATAAATTATTATAAGTAAATTTTGTAATAAACAATAATAATATTAATAATAATAATTGAATAATTCTATGCAAAAATATACAAACTAATTTATGATGTTTATAAATAAATTATCTTTACTCAGAAGCATTTCTTGTAATTAATGTTTAAAAAAAAAATAATCAGATCTTAGATTCATACATGATTTTAAATCTTTTCTCTATATATCAAATTTTAAACTCTAATTACAATTTGTAATAATTATTTTTAATGCAAAATTAAATTAAGAAATTGTCAACCGCTATTTAATGAAATATGTTTATGTTGATTACATTTTTAAAAATAAACATTTGCATTACCTTCTGCTGGGCCAATAGCTAAATTTTCTAGTGTTTCTCTAACACACTTAAACATTATTTCATAAACATTCTAAAATATATTAAATAACATATGTAGAAGTATTTATAAACAAACTTTTATGTGTACAAAATGAAAGTAAAATAAATTAAAATTAAAATTAAAAGGGAAACATGTTCTTTTGCTCCCACAAGTACGTATCGATAAATACTCTTGAAAGCAGATGGACTTGGTATCATAAATTTTATATTTGAGGGCCATTGATATGAGTGCTGAAAAAATAATTAGATGATCTATAATATACATACATATATCTCTGATTAGGAAAAATTGCATGTGGTTTCGAAATTCGTTTTAACTTTGGTATTAAGGTTTGAATCTATGTTTTTTTTTGAAAAAACATAGAAAAGTTAAGAGATTATACTTTTATCTTAATCGTCTATTTAAATATTAAAAAATACTATTGAAACATATAAAAATACACATCTACTCGTACATACATATACTCAATGAATATATATAAATATATTTATACGTTTAGACATTTTTAATTTTAAGAGTAAAATCATTTTGCAAAACCCATTGAGAATAAATTTTGCAACGCTTTCAAATATTTTGAATATTTTTGATTGATATTAATTATATTTGGCAAAAATCTATAAAATTTGAAAAATATGTGTTTCTGCTGTAAAGTATTCATTAATATTTTAATATAAAACTTTTGTTTTTAATGAAATTTGTTTAGTCATAGTATAATATTTGAGAAAAATCTGTTCATATTAAATCAAGTATAATTTCCTATCAACGTAATAACATTACGTCAATAATATGTTAGCAATAAATATTTAATAATCGATTCAATATCAATAAAAAAAAAAAATTTAATTATTTTCGCTTTACATTATTTTCAATATTAATATCAACAAACTACGTTAAAAATTTTTGTTCGTAAAAATAACTAATGAAATTCAACTTGCTTTATATTATTATTGTTTATAGAAGGTTTTCTTTAGTAAAAATCTACAATTATAAATTTATTTCCGGTTGCACTACTAACCATTATTTATTACTGGTAGTGTGGCTGCTGTTGCTTTTCTTATTATTCGAACTTCGAATGCATATATGTATGCTTGCATTCGCAGTATAAATTGTTGTAGTAGAGTTTGTTGAAAAGTTAATGTATAATATTAAATTTCATTTTATACGTTAAGATATAGAAATATAGCAAAACCTATACCACACCCAAAATATAGCAAAATGTATCTTTACAAAAACTAATATTACATATAACATAATATATAAAACTAATATATCTTAATATATTAAGATATAGAAATATATCCTATATATATTATTTCATATTACATATAATATAATATATAATATTTTATAATATATAAAACTAATATAATATTTTTATATATTAAGATATAGAAATATAGCAAAATCATTCCCAAAACAAAATATATCTCTACAAAAACTAACACTTAAATTAGCACTAAAATTATAATTCAGTTCAGCTTTCGACAAAATTGATTATTTTACTTGAACTTGAGGTTATGTTCATTCCTTGACTATTTCTTTAGTAAATACTGTTACTAAATAATCTTAATAACTTCTCTCTCATTTATTTCATCCATTTAATTTGCTATATAAATTAAGCCTTAAGCTTTTACCAATAATGTGGACAAAAATGGACTGTATTTTAGACCTTGACTTTATTGAACTACTTTGATACTTCTTCAGGCTTATTGCTTAAGTTGTCCAAACTATTCTCTATGTTTGGAAAGTTGCTACAACTCAACACGACGCACATTTCTAATTCAAGATAGTCTAAATCAAAACATTTAGCTTTATTAGTGATCAGAATGTGACATCATTTTTATTTTTTAAGTTTTAAGTGACATCTCATATAGCGGATAATGTATTTTTCTAGCCAAGCAATAGGCTAAGATATATATATTTTTAAATTCGTAGAAACTCAAATATGAAATATACTTTACGGCTTACTGAAATAAATTAAATAAATATTTTTATTTATCCTACGCAATAAACCTTTCTAATCCTAACCAAAAAGTTTTCGTACATTTCGTGGTTTTCGAGCACTCCAAAAAGAAATGTGTTTCAAAATTCGTAGAAATTCGAAAAGGAAATATACTTTATGGTATATTTTTTAAAAATCACATAAACTACTTACTATATATTATTTTATTAAATATGTATACATTTTATTAAACATGGTTAATGTTAAATTGACCTATTCACACCTAGTATTTTGCTTTATTTAAAACGCACAATTTTTTTTTAATTTTTATGCATGTATAAAAATAAATAGTATTCATCACTGAGTCGGAAAATTTTTTTGTTATTGAACTTCAAAAAAATTCAACATCGCTAAAATTTGTTTACCAAAACATTTCGAGAGGCCGACTTTTCGATGTGGAAAATCTTTTCGAAACACTTTGAATAGATGAGAAAAACGTTCTCGATGTCATTGTCTTAACGAGGTCACTCATTAGTGGAATGGAATTGAATTCTATTTGATTATTCGGGGCATGTTTTACATTAAAACATTTTATTTTTACCAAACTTTTGTTTGGTAAAGTTTATTATATAAATAAATAAAATATATATAAATTAAAAAAACGTTTTTCTTTTTTGGAAAATCAGGAAAATTTTTTACTATAAAAAAAACGGGAACTGATAATTTTACTTTTAATTGTTAAATAAAAAGGTATTGCCTTTAGTCATATAACAAAAAAAGGTAATAATAGCTAACTACGTATATAAATAGTGTATTATACTTCTTTCAAAACCACAAAATCCTTTACTGATTTTTGTAATGTATTAGTAATATTTTTTTTAAAAATCATTATATAAGTTTTTGTTAGTAGAACTAATATTCCATATAAATTTATTATATTTATATAAATATATAAATTAAACATATAAATTTTAATTTATTAATATATATATTTTATTTTCTATAACTTTTTAAGGATTATTAATATAATAAAGAATGCAAAACTTTAGTACAAATATTTATTTGTCTTTAGTGTATATTCGTCAATGTTATTAGTCATAAAAAAATCATAAAATGTTCTCATTGAACTTGAATTTAAAAATATTTTTCAAAGTTTTTATATTTAAATGATTTCTTTTAGTGGGTAGAATACCATCTGTTAAAAGATACTATTGGAATATTATAACTCTTAAATACAATAACAGTGCAATAAATAAAATTATATTTAAATTATTTATTTATAAATATATATACAATAAATACATATATATATATATATATATATAAACTATATATACCTTTATTCATGCTGTTACTTGTAAAAGAAATTCTATAAAATATCATTGGACTTTTATTTAAATAATTGTAATAATTAATCTTTATATATCTTTTATGATATATCTTTTATTAATAATTTTTTTGTTACATTTCTAAATGACAAACGGATACGTCTATCGAAAAATCGAATTTCCTTGCAACCAAAAATAAAAAACCTGGAGAGAGAAAAAAAGAAACAAAAGAACACTTTCTTTGTAAATGTCCAGGACTGAGAAGATTAAAGTATTTCACAATGGAGCTCTACGAACTAATGAGCTTAATGAACATCTCAAATACAGAACTTCAAAAAATAATCTCCATTATCAACCGCGTAGATTGTATTTTCTATATTTTCTAGATCAGATTAATTATAAGTGAGAGTACATGCTTTTCCTTAAAAATCAATAAGTTTAAAAACTCATTTTAATAATTCACAATTTTATTCACATTCAATAGATATCATCCAATCAAGTGCAAAGCCATAATTTGCCCCACTTGGCTACGCCCGTGTCTATTGATATATAAACAATTTCTCCGCAAAATTTATATAAATATAATATAAATTGCTGTTAAGTAACTAAAGCTGCATATGATAAAACTCTCATCACATAAAGTTCTTTACAATATCATTTTTATAATTCTCATACAGTTTATATGGTTTAGCTCACGATACACAATACAGCAGATAACACCTATTTATTTAGAAATCATCTCAGGAACGTAAATTTTAACTTCCAAATTAACTAAACTATCGTTCTACTGTTAGCTTTCCTCACGAAAAAACTATCGAAATATTGAGAAGTGGAACTATGAAAGGGCAATACTTTTCAAACTTCCTTACATATATTTCGAATATGCGGGAGGTTTCCTCCCGTCACTACTGTAGTTGCATTCAAAAATTATTACAAATTCGATATAAGTTAAGTAGCTATTATTTTTCTACCGTTTTTCCCAAAGGTTTTCTAACGGAATTGATCATATTTTTGGAAGAGAAATTATGACAAATCTAACTATATAGAAGAGACCTATTACGGCTGTGTGAATTGGGTTAGCATATTTGTCTTGCTGTCAGGTAAATAGTTTAGAAGCCCATTAAATGAGTTAACAGGCACATATATTGATTTTTATATATATTATAAGTAAAAACTATATACTTAATCCTCCGATTTTTTACACCAATTTTTTATATCAATATAACAAATCGACCCATGGTTTAATCTGTATAAAAGGCAAAATAACGTCGAATACACTGACTATAAGTGTTAATAAAAAAAATCAAATGCAAAAAATATTTTTGAACCTATCTATCGTGCAAAAACTACATAAACCGAACAAACAGTTTAGATTATCCTTGAACCACTAAACGAACTACTTCAGAAATGTATGTCATTTTTATACCAATGTAATATAAAATATATTCTATGTACAGTATATCATTTAAATACTATTATAATATCTATTATTATAGATATTATTTTTATGTATAAAAAAACGAGTTTTTTTTAAATCAGAAGCTTAATGGAATATTTTTTCTCTTTCGCCATCAATCGGAAAATAGTATATGCATGTCACATACTGTGCTAGTAGTTCAACCACCTTTTCACAATAAATCCAAAAATCAATATCCTTTTATGTATTAAAGGAGCAGAAGAAGTAAACCATAAAAATATGTACCCATCTGTGATACTTGGTGAGCCGTATAATTATCGATTTTCCAAAGTGCATTTTAAGCACCCTTTATACAGGTTTAAGACATTAAAGGATTTTATATTTACCAAATCCTTGTATAAGTCCTTGCTGATGTGTGGTGTTAGTTTTAGGGCGCCGACGAAGACAAAAAATAAACCCAAAAGTATTGAAAGACTTTTCAAGACAATCGTATTTGATGCTGGCATTTTGTTTGAAGAAAATTATTTTTATATGATTTTTTTACTTTTGATTATAATTTATAAATATATTTATATTGTTATTTTGAAAAAAATTTGTTATGTAAAACACTTTAAATACATGCTCAATATTAAAGAAACACGTTCAAATATTTTCGTTTGGTTTTAATGTTTGGCAGTACTAATTTCTTCTTATTTATTGCTTATAAAACACACTAAAACCGAAATGCATTCGAATTAATATTATTTTTTAAATTTATTAATGCAAATTATTTTGATTGGCAAAAGGGACATGCTAGTCTTCTGTGGACAAACACCGGTTCTATATATAGCGTTGACCGTTGAATTTAAAATATTAAAAATACTAAAATATTTTTTACGAGCAACGCCTTTATTTTTCCACAAAAAAAACCGCACAAGCTAATACAAAAGTTCGAAAGAGACTGAAACCGTGTCAGACCCAGCATCACGGAAATGCCTCCGTACACTCAAAATAAATGCACGAAACAAGAGAGCGGCGTCCAATACTAAGAGAAATATAAGGGTAGTTCACAAATCGAAAAGTTGGTAATAAATAAATAAAATATATAAGATTTAAACGATCGGAAGGGTAAAATAATCATTTGAACTAAAAATAATAATATAAACAGCAATCTTCTAAACTTTAAAGACGTGGTGGCTTGATATATAAGTATTTATTAAATATCCATGTAAATATCTAATATTATATATAAAAAATAGCGCAATTTGACAAAAGATTTAAGTAGAACTATTAAGTAAAATTATTATTTGAACTAAAAATAATTACGTTAGCAGCAATTTATATATCTTCTAAGCTTTAAAGACGTGGTACGTAAGTACTTTTATTAAATATCCAGGTAAATATCTAATATTATACATATATAAAAAATGGCGCAAGTTGACTACCGATTTAAATAGAATCAGCTATTTTGAGCAATTTATTCCGCAACACTATATACCAATATAGGATAACTGACTTCACTAAAGTTCGTTGTCAAATGGACGTACCCAAGAAATCAGAATCTTGTCTAAAATATATATAATAACTGGTTATATCAATTCGTAAAATGAATATAAATTTTTGAATTTGAAACTAATAGCTTATTCAAGCTGACATTGATTTATTGCAATAAATAGAAAGATTGCAATTAACCAAAATATGTGTTCAAACTCGCTTATTTTAATTAATTGCAATTAACGAAACGTCAGATTTCGTTTTTATTTTGCAAATTAAATACAAATTCAATAAAAATATTTTATTTCGTTAAGAATATGAAAAATGAATAACAAAGAAGCAGAAATAATTATTTTATAAATATTTTTAAAATGTGTAAAATCATAGAAGCAAATGCAATCAAGGACCGATTGCTTATAAAATTAATAAGAAAATAATTTGTAAAATGTAAAATAATTTTAATTCAAATAGCAAAACTAGCTCAATTCAAAAACAGTGTTTGATATTATTACGATCTGTTTAATATATTATTGTATATGTTGTGTTTAATTTTTACAAAATTCAAATACAACCCAGCGTTGCAATGGTAATAAAACTAGTATTGCAATAACTCTATAATAATAATTTCATCGCATTTATTGCCATTTGTATTCAAATTAATGTTATTTACTGCAATAAATACTATTATTTGTAATTAATGGTGCAATCTGGTCGAGCTATAACAAATAAAATATGAAGGACTGATTTCATAGTAGCAACTTCAGTTTCACTACTGACTTAACTTTGATAAATTAAGTCAATATTGAGATTTAATATAATATAATTTTATATAAATAAATATATTCAATATTTTTGTAATATGTTTCAGACATAAAGAAAAAAAGAAAAAAGTATAACTGATATGTAATCTAGTGGATATTAAAATTTTACATTTTTTTAAAGCATTATACAACACTGAAAGCCTCTTTAAACGTTTAATAAACAAAAACATACTGTGAACGATATTCAGTAAAAAATAAAATTTATCAATTTTTAAATAAATATGTCGTTAGTAGCATACGCCGCTAGTAGCGATGAAGATTCAGATACTGAAGAAGATTCTAATACAACGAAAGCAATTATTCCGCAAAATAAGAAATCAGAATATTGTTCGACTCCATCAAGTGGTCACATAAGTGATGAAGAAGATGATTTTACAAATAAAAATAGCACACAAATCCTCAAACAAAAAGTACCAGATGTAAAAAATATAACTCTGACAAAACCTAATACAAATAGACCGCATCATGTCGCCGGTGGACATATTAGCGACGAAGACGATGATTTTACACCAGAAAGTCAAAGTGAACAAAAGCAGCCTATTTCAATGTCTATGAGTTTACCAAAACCTAAAAATTTAATAGACAATAATAATTTCGATGTTATTGAAGTTGATATTACACCCACATTCACCAAATTGCCAACTCCAAGAGCCTCGGACAATGTTGTTGTTGAAGAAGATGACGAGTTCTTGCATAAAAAAGCACAACTAATGGAACCTTCAATTAGTAAACCACCTCCTGTTTCCAAAACACGTGTGAAAATAACAATTCCTTCTTTAAAAGAGTTTAACGATGTTGGTAAAGATACAGAGTGTAAGGTTAAAAATAAAAGTGCACCTACAAGTAAAAGCAAAAGTTCAGGTTTGCTAAGTATATTGCCAACAGCAAAATCTGAACAAAATTTCCGTAAAACAACAAACGAAAATGAATCCATTCCTGCCACGAAAACTTCCGCAACAAATATACCTTTGAAACCAGCATTTATTCCAGATGCGGTAAAGCATGGCCGTCCAGCAGCTAACACGGAATATGTTGATGGTGCAAAAGCAGTAACCAAAAAGGATACTAAATTGCCGGAGAAGAAGAAATCTATTGTTGACTGCAGTGATAGCGAAGCAAGTGATGATGAAAATAGTAATGGTGACTTCTTTTCATTAAACACAAAACAAAAACTACCACAAGTCAGTACAAATGAGATAAATGCTATGGTAGCAAAACGAGCAGCAGAAATAGCAGAAGCAACAACAAATTATCTCAAGTCATCAACAGTAGCAGAACAAGCAATGGATCTTGACAAAGAGGATGAAGATGAACTAAAGGAAGCACAAAAAAGATATCATGATCAAGAGCTTGACCGTGAAGCAATTCAAGCACTTGTTGGTAGTAATGCTAAACGTAGACGCCAACACCAAAATCAAAATATACAAGTTGTGGAATTATCTAGCGAACAAGTGCTACCAAACCGCGAAGAGTGGATGCGTACCGCTCTGGCTTCTTCAACCACATACCAGCCGAGAGGTGAACTTGTTGACGAAGAGCCAGTTGCTGGGACAAGACGTAAACATCAAATTACTTATTTGGCACATAAAGCTAAAGCAAATGAAGCTGAGCTGCAAGCTATGTGGGCTACAAATCGCCAAAACCGTAGAGCAACACAAAGCAAATATGGTTTTTAATCATTTTATTTGTGTATCATACTACAACATAAAAACATATAAAATAATATTATTGTACAAAACAGTATTTTTTTTTTCACCAAGTTTCAATCTTTTTTAAACGCCTAAAAACGTAAATTATTGATGACACTAGTAATATCCATATGGGTGTCATTGTAACAAATATCGAAATTTCCAACTCCGGGTACTCCAGTGTCAAGCAGATCATAACTTGAGATGTAATTTTTAGAAAAACGCCAAATATGTACCATTTATAATAGCCGAGTAATTCTTTCAAACGTTTAAGGTTTCGCCATTTCCGTATGATTTTTATGATAACATATATTATCAATATTCCGTCAAAAACCCACAGAGGTATCAATGTAACAAACCAATTCCAGTGCGTACGTGGATCCAATCGCAAGCATAGTAAAATTAAGAAGACTAACACTATAAACCATGTAAACAACGCACGATGAGCGAGAGTCATAACGAAAATGGGATTTAAAAATAATTTTACATTTTTAAAGAATTAATAAATATTTTATACAAAACAGCAAGATTTGTTTACATTTTTTTTATGGTTTTCCTATTGCAAGTTTTAAAGTGTAGTTACACAAAAAACGTAGTATTTTTGAGATACGTATTAAATAAGTATGTTTTTTTTTTACAAAACTGCACTTATTATTATTTTTCATATTAAAAATTATCATTAATAAAGAATAATGAACTTCAAAGTAATTATATATGTATGTAAATTTTTTATTCTATGCAATAATGAATATTTTCTTAACAATCTAAATCCTATTAGAATTAAATGGTGTTGAGTAAAATAGAACTCTGGCGTTAACTTAAACAGCTGATGTATAAATGTAATAGATCGGAATGTACACATAAAAGCCTACCAATTGACGTGTCATTTCAGTTAAAAATTTTATAAAAGGTGGAAAAATATAGCAAAATAAATAATATATATGTTAAATAAATATATAAAAAGTATATTTGATTTATTATAAAAACTTGCCGACTTCTGAAAGATATATTGATAAAACTAAATTGCGATAAATCCACGTTTCACTTTATAATCGGCAAAAACATAATTTGGTATAAAAGGACATACAGTCATTATAATGTTGACTAATTTTGAATCAAAGTCGGCTCGAGTAAAAGGTTTATCGTTTCACCCGAAGCGTCCCTGGATTTTAGTTAGTTTACACAGTGGTGTAATTCAACTATGGGATTACCGCATGCACACTTTACTTGAAAAATTCGATGAACATGATGGTCCTGTACGTGGTGTTGCTTTCCATCCACAAATGCCGTTGTTTGTTTCTGGCGGCGATGATTACAAGATAAAAGTTTGGAACTATAAACAACGTCGTTGTATTTTTACGTTATTAGCACATTTGGATTATGTACGTACAGTAGCATTTCATCACGAATATCCATGGATATTGAGTGCTTCCGATGATCAAACTATACGCATTTGGAATTGGCAATCTCGTAATTGTATATGTGTACTCACCGGCCACAATCATTACGTTATGTGCGCGCAATTTCATCCAACAGAGGACCAAATTGTATCTGCTTCTTTGGATCAAACTGTTCGTGTCTGGGACATATCTGGTTTACGTAAGAAAAATGTTGCTCCTGGCCCAGGGGGACTTGATGAGCACTTGAAAGGTCATCCTGGTGCAACAGATTTATTCGGTCAAGCTGATGCAGTCGTGAAACATGTTTTGGAAGGCCATGACCGTGGTGTTAATTGGGCAAGTTTCCACCCCACTTTGCCATTAATAGTATCCGGTGCTGATGATCGATTAGTGAAATTATGGCGCATGAACGAATACAAGGCCTGGGAAGTGGATACGTGTCGAGGTCATTACAACAACGTCTCATGTGTACTATTTCATCCCAGACAAGATTTAATTATATCCAATGGTGAAGACCGCAGTATACGTGTTTGGGATATGACCAAGAGACAGTGTCTATACACTTTTAGACGTGATGGTGAACGCTTTTGGATATTAACTGCACATCCAACTTTAAATTTGTTTGCTGCCGGACATGATGGCGGTAAGTTTTTCTGCTTACTCATATATTTAACTTTTTTAATATAAATTTTAATTCAATTCTATGCAGGCATGGTTGTTTTCAAATTGGAACGTGAAAGACCAGCTTATGCAGTTCATGGTAACATCCTTTATTATGTGAAAGATCGTATACTACGTAAATTAGATTTCACTACAACTAAGGATAGTGTGGTAATGCAACTACGAAGCGGTGCTAAATCTCCTGTATACAGCATGTCCTACAATCCAGCACTTAATGCGGTTTTAATTTGTACACGTACAAACAATTTGGAGAATAGCACTTATGATCTGTATCAAATACCTAAAGATAGTGAATCTCAAAATGACTCCGACAGTAAACGTTCATCAGGTATAACCGCAATTTGGGTTGCACGTAATCGTTTTGCAGTTTTGGATCGAAATCAGCAACTGGTCATAAAGAACTTTAAAAATGAAGTAACAAAGAAAATACCAACATTTTGCGAGGAGATATTTTATGCAGGAACAGGCATGCTGTTAATACGTGATCCGGAATATGTAACTTTGTACGAAGTGCAACGCTTGGTGTCAGTTGGTTGCATTAAATTAGCTAAATGTCGCTACGTTGTTTGGTCTGCTGATATGTCCTTAGTTGCGTTACTCTGCAAGCATTCTGTTACGATATGTGACCGCCGTTTACAATACTTATGCACTATCCAGGAAAATTGTCGCGTTAAATCTGGCGCCTGGGATGACTCTGGGGTATTTATTTACACCACCAGCAATCACATCAAATACGCAATAACCAATGGTGATCATGGCATTATAAGGACTTTAGACTTACCAATTTATCTGACGCGTGTAAAAGGAAATCAAGTATTTTGTTTGGATCGTGAATGTCGTGCGCTGGTCTTAAATATAGATTCCACTGAATATAAATTTAAACTAGCACTAATTAATCGCAAATATGACGAAGTACTTCACATGGTACGCAATGCACGCCTTGTAGGCCAAAGTATCATAGCATATCTGCAACAAAAAGGATATCCAGAAGTAGCTTTACATTTTGTGAAAGATGAAAAAACTCGTTTTGGTTTGGCTTTAGAATGTGGTAACATTGATATCGCACTTGAAGCAGCAAAGGCACTGGATGATAAAGACTGCTGGGATCGTTTGGGACAAGCTGCTCTAATGCAAGGTAATCATCAAGTAGTTGAAATGTGTTATCAGCGAAACAAGAATTTTGACAGTCTAAGTTTCCTCTATTTGATCACTGGCAATTTGGAGAAACTGAAGAAAATGATAAAGATTGCTGAAATACGAAAAGATTATTCAGCACAATACCAAGGTGCACTGCTATTGGGAGACATTAATGAACGTATAAATATACTTAAAAATTGTGGGCAATTATCACTGGCTTATTTGACAGCAGCAACCCACGGTTTCACCGACCAAGCTGATAGTTTAAAAGAAACACTCACGCAAGAGGGTAATCCACTGCCTGAGGTTAACCCTGATGCAGTTTTGCTTAATCCGCCTGTACCAATACAACAAGTCGAAACGAACTGGCCTCTTTTAACGGTATCTAAAGGATTCTTCGAGGGAGCTATGATAACACGTGCGGGCACAAGTGCAACTGCAAGACAAGCCCTAAATGTAAATGCTGATGCAGCAATTATGGACGCAGGTACATCTGGTGATGGTTGGGGCGCTGATGCTGATCTAGATTTAGGTGAAGATGGAGATGAAGAAATGCAGGATGCTTTAGATACAGAAGCTGGAGCAGAGGGAGGTGAAGACGGTGCAGGTTGGGATGTAGGAGACGATGATCTTGTCGTTCCCGAGGAACTTGCTTCTAAAATTAAAGCGAATGCATTAGATACAGGATTCTTTGCCAACAAAGGATTATCCGTTGCGCAGCACTGGGCTAACAACTCGTCACTTGTTGTAGATAATATAAAAGCTGGCGCTTTCAAGAATGCATTCCGCTTACTAAATGAACAGCTTGGCGTAGTTAATTTTTCACCTTTTAAAACACTATTCTTACACAATTATGCCTGCTCCAGAACAAGCTTCACTGCAATGCCAAACATCAAATCACTTTCAGCATACCCATTAAGAAATATTGGTGAAACCAATGTTAAAAACCAAAGGCCAGCGTTGGGTATTAAACTGAATGACCTGGTTTTACGTTTACAAGCTGGCTACCAACTGACAACTGCTGGCAAATTCACAGAAGCTGTGGAGAAATTTCATTCCATCCTAATAAGTATACCGCTGTTAGTTGTCGATACTAAACAGGATATTGCGGAGGCACAAGAACTGTTAAAAATTTGTGGAGAGTACATACTTGGTTTGAAAATGGAAACCGAACGCAAAGGTATGCCTAAATCAACACTGGAAGAGCAAAAACGGCTTTGCGAATTAGCCGCTTATTTCACACACTGCAAGCTGCAACCTGTGCACCAAATTTTGACACTACGTACCGCGTTAAATATGTTCTTTAAGTTGAAAAATTATAAAACCGCAGCATCATTCGCGAGACGTCTATTGGATTTGGGCCCGCGCCCAGAAGTGGCACAACAAGTACGTAAAGTACTGCAAGCATGCGAAGTTAATCCAGTCGACGAACATCAGTTGCAATATGAAGAATTCAATCCATTTAATATTTGCGGCATCAGTTACAAGCCTTTGTACCGTGGTAAACCAGAGGTGAAATGTCCGTTCTGTCAAGCATCCTACGATCCCCAATACAAGGATAGTTTGTGTGCGGTGTGTGATGTGAGTCAAATCGGCAAAGATGCCATAGGTTTGCGCATTTCCAACTTACAATTTCGTTAAACTTGTAAAAAACTTTCATTTTATTTAAATGTTTACGTCAGAGGCGTTGATTATTATTTGTATTTTTATTATTAATATGAAAATGTAAACCATTTTGCAATACACCATTATTATATGCTTATAAAATATATACTCGTCGATTCGAAAATAAAAACTGCTTTTGATTTCTGACTGTGGTGAAAAATGGAATGTGGTGAAATTAGATTATGCTCTATGCCGTTGTTTATGCAGCACGACTTGCTTGCTGGCATTCCGTTTACTTTAGAAATAATTTAGGAAGTATGTTAGTTTTATCTGTCAAAAAATTGTTAAAAATAGTTTTGCACTTAAAAGTTGGATTAAAAACATAAAAATTATGGATGCGGTCGACATTATGCTAAATGCTGCACTAAAAACAATTGATTGTTATTATAAAGAACAATTGTTAAAAGAGGCTAATAGAAAATTGGAATATAAACAGACTGGATCAGGTTTTAAAGTTTTATTAAACATAATTTATTAGAAAAATAATATATTTTTATATTTCAGCTGCAATAAATAGGAAAAAGAAAGCTAAGAAGAAGCATTCAGAGGATTTCAAAGGATTCAACTATAAAGAAATGAAGGAATCCAGACGTTTATATAAAAATGAGATGGATTACTATAACACACAAATATTTACAATAAACGAAATGAAGAGCAAGTTAAATATTTCTACAAATTGCAATGATCTCCATGATTCCCAATCCTCTAGTTCTTAAAATGATGTGCCGCGTGTTGATATTAATTAATATTTAGGAGTTGTTAACATGACCACGTTTTATGATATCAAATGCCTTATGTATCAAATACATAGTTTTAATTGTATTATTCAAATTGTAACTTTTTTTTTAACATTATTACAATGTGAAATAAATTATAAATAAATTACAAACATTTTGTACCAAATGTTGGTTACGTGGTCTGGTGTGAGTTTAATAAGGCGAAATGTCTTAAACATATTTTCTATATTGTCTAATTTATTTAAGTAAATTAATATTTTGTAATATTTTAAATTTTACATAATTATTAATATTAAATTAATATTTTAGTAAGAATTTATTCTATACATAAAATGTAAAGGAGTTGCTTTCACTATAGCGAAGTGAAGATTTATAACATAATCACTTATAATGTATAAAAATTGTTATAATCCTTGTTGAAAGAGGCGAGCGGTATTTAATTACCTAAATACACAATTGGACCGTAACCTTGGTCACTACAGACTCCATTCGAGTTCAGTTTTTTGGTTTTAGCAGTGACAGTGAGGTTCTTAAAGGAAAACAAGTGCGATTGTTAGAAAAACATTTAAAAAAAATTTTGAATGTAAATATATTGTGTTAGGTTCAGATTAAACTCTGATTTTCTAAATTATATATATACGTAAAGTAATTATTGTGCATATTTAGTGAAAAGCGTAATAATTTGTAATCTAATGTGTAAATTCCCTGCAATGGTTAAGAGTTTCATGTATACCGAAAGACAATTTATTTAATTGTAAACTGTTGTATTATATACTTCTGAAGTGGCTAGGTTTCTCCATCTTGATCTTGATCCATTATCACTCTCATATAATGCTCCATCGCGTCTCATATAACCAATACCCATCTACATCATTACCTATGCATACGTCTTGTAATTCTTTTCACGTTAAATAAGTTACATTCCTGCGAGTTACAACAAGTATATGCTCATATAATAGAATTAATACTTCTCCTGTAGTACTTCCAAAGATTATCCATTCCACTTTTTCACATTGTTAGCTTAAATAACTCACTTCTTTATGAAACAGGTTATACTCTTTCTTTATTTAAATAATATAATTTATATTCATTTTTTTATTAATCAATAATATGACTGCACCTACTCCCACCTACTCTGAAAATATATTTTTAAAATTTCGACCATCGTAATAAGTATGTTTTTTGGTGCAACTTTTAAAAACATACATTTATTAAATGTATGATTATTTTCAATAAACAGAACTCGCACATTACAAAATAATTATAACAACTTAAAAGATAAAATTTATAAAAACATTTAATCATATTTATATATCTTTATTAAAAGATAAAAACTTTGAACTTAAAATTAAAAGTTTTTAGTAGGTATCATAAAAAATATTTTTGTTAAATTGAAATAATTTTTTAAACTATATGAGTATTAAATAAATATATGCCATAAGTACTCTCTAACGTCGCCATACGCCAGGTCCAATGCCTCCAGATGCCACACCACGACGTACTGCTTCCATTTCATCTGTGCGATTATCGCGATAAGCACGTTTCGAATCCTCAAACTCACGTAAACGTTGATTGTAACGATCAATTTGATCACGTAAAATAGCATCTTCATGCATGGCTCGCCGTTCATCATATTCTAAACAACCAACGCCATCTAAGCGCTCCAAATCCAACCAACCACGAAAACGCACACATACACCGTTCATAATAAAATATGACTTAATATGTACTTTACCATGCTCTTTATCGAAATCGCACTCTTTGTCTTGTATATAAGGATTTTGGTTTGCATTGAATACCAACTGCAAATTAGTGCCAGAAGCAACAAATGATACCTCGGTGTGTCCCTCACGGCAACCATTTTGAAAACGTATCTGCCGTTCTTCAGGTGCACGTTCGCGATAGCCAGTGTAACGAATTTCACTTTCGCGGCTTAAACGGCGGAATAATTCATCACTCTCAAACTTGGATTTCTGATCTGGTACCACACGTGGCATTTTAAAAATAAATCGTGGTTTTGGTTGTTCATACAAACCAATGGTATCGTAAGGAATCATACCAGCAAGAGCTGCAGCCTCATTCATTTTTTCTAAGTATCAACCGATGAATCACTTTCAATCACGCTGAATTGTTAAGTTGAGTTAGTTCTCTTTATTTCGTACAGATATATAATTAAATATATTAATTTATTATTTTTTATACAGCAGCAGGAAATGTTTGTTTATTGAAATACAAGCACAAAATTATAAAATTTCTTTTCGTATACTTACAATTTTGCGGTTTTTCAGAGTTGTATTTTTGGAGTGTTTCATTGAATAAAATTTTCCTCCACAAATATTTCAATTGTGCGTGTTGAATATTTTTGTTATTATATTTCACAACAGGCTTCTTCACAGCTTTTATTTAGAATGCTAATACTTTAGCATTCTAAGTGTGTTAAATATATTACATGAATTGTCAACATATCGCTGAATATGCTACCTTGATAAATTATTATATTCTATTCTAATCACAAAATATGCGTTCTCGATATTCCTTTTCGCGAATATGACATTTTAACACTTTAGCATATTCGAAGAAGTTTAGCATGTTAAATAAAAATAATGAAGATAACTAATATTACAATACGTTTACATTATCGAAATTAATTCCAGAAATGTGCAAGAATCATATCATAAAGGTTCAGATAGTCAGTACGTATGTACCGTACTCGTACGTGTAGTATTTTCAAATGTTATGCATACTCAGATACTCTCATTTACTCGAAAATTTGCTGGTGGAACGCACTTGTGTACACACAGTGTTACTTTAAGTTACTACGAGTAGCTCGTGGAACAGACTTAATATGATTATATGAAGACCTTCGTTTTAGTCTTGGGGTAGCCCACTCGCAACTCTCTTTTTCTTTCTATCTCTCACTCCTTCTTAGTTTCTTGTGATTGCAAGTATCGACATTTAAAACAAATTTCATAACAAAAATTAATTACTAAATAATGGTGATAAACCATTGAGAAAATTCTGTATCAGACTTTATTCGTACAATTTTTCTCAAGTAAAATTTATTGATGTGTGAATCAGCTTGAATTTAAATTTTTGAATTTAAATTTTTGAATTTAAATTTTTGTATTCTTTATTTGCGCAGTACTGGTGTTCTCACCAGATTTTAAACAAAGCTGTTCCATGAAAGTCTGTGTAAAGAACGTGATTCGGCACTTTATTTGTGTTGTGCTCTAAGTTTGTACTTTACTTGTGTTTTATTTGAGTTTTACTACTAGTAGCTCGTGGAACAGACCTATTATTATTCATTATTATTATATCTAACTCTTTAAGTTAAAATTTTTTTTAATTATAAAAATGATCTATAATCCCACCGATATAAATTTTGGTTAAAAACCTTTCTAAATAGAAATACTAGTTATTTCTAAAGAAATACTAAAGAAATACTAGTTATAATCTTAAATTGCGTACGAATAGATTGTAGAAGAATTCGTAGAGAATTTTATTGAAATTGCAAAAAAAAAATTGTTTTGTATGGACTTCGGCCAAAACTCTGATTTTATTGATAGATTTTTTACAAATATATGTCATTAATATCGCTAATTTATGAGAAAATTTTTGTATTAATTATGAACTATACACAATCACATATAGATAAAGTACACATATTAAATAAAAATCTGAAATAAGGTTAAAAATTACAAAATATAATACACTAATACCTCGTTTCATATTCCGTCGAAAAAATTTGCGAATAAATTTGCGTCATTTCACATTGCATAGTAAAATATTTAAAGAATAGGAGTATTTTTTTGACATAAATGCTTCAATAAAACAACTTTTAGTTGCTTAAGAAGAACTTGGCATCACTGCTTAAATTAGTATATATGTGATAAGTAAAAAAATTATAAACAATTTTAAATAAGAAAAAAATTTAAATAGGAAAAGAAAAAATACTCCCATTCCCATTTTATTCAAAATCGGGGTTAAAATATCTTTTAAAGAAAATAATTTTTTATAAAATTTTTTGATATTTTTATTTGAATATACAAACATATCTTGCGATTTCTTAAATTAATTTCTTATATTTATATACATATTTTTTAGTATACATATTATATATTATTTTTATTCCTACTTACAGCTCAAGCAATTTAGAATTATATTAATTTCTCCTTTAGAATTATTATTAAAATAATATTTATCTTTTCATATTTTACAATTATTTATTTCTTAAATTATAAGGTAAAATCAATTATATAATTAAAATTGTTAAAACCTAATCTATAATTGCTTATACATAAATTTGTTATATGGCTCTTATTTCGAAAAGAATATTATTTCTCCTTATAGTGGTTTCAATTTGATATGGATCTTTTAAACCCATTTTGGAACCATAACTTTAACTATATATAATGGTCCTATTTTGCTTTTCATAATGCAGTGATATTTATATTTTAATTAAGAAAATAAAATAGTATAAAAAATATTTGAAATGATTTTAATAATTTATTATTATTTTCAATAATATTTTTTTTTTGTTTTATACAAATAATATACATACATATAATGTTAAGTCTTCTAACGTCATAAAAACATTTTTCAAATGAATCTCGAAAAAAAAACATGAATTTATTAATGTTTTTATGAAAAAATTGTAATTATTAAACAATTAATTAAATAATAAATTTGTAATCAATTATTTTTTGTATACAAATTAATTTTTAAGTGCAAATGGTAGTTCTATGGTGTTTACATTTATATATTTTTGTATTCAAATAATTTATAAGGCATCTTTTTCAAAGGCATCTGTATTAGCTATTTTATGCTCTTCATCAATTTAAGTTAAATTTTAATTTTTAACTTTTATTATTTTAATGATTGTAATTATATTTACTAAATACATTTTCAAGAACTTTAAAATACGAATTTATGTGAGTACGAATTACGATATGCGATAGTTCTTGTTATTAACCTTTAAATTTAATTAATATTTACTTAATCGGAAACCTTATATAGGTATAATCGAAAATATGTATGTAATATTAATGTAATTACTTACATACAAAATTTATTAATGCTTTAGGTTTACTTAAGTAGAGCTAAAGTAATTTATGCTTATTAATTTTTATAAATTTATAGGTACATAACTAATGTATAAATATTTTTTACAGTATTCATGTCTATATTCAAATTATAATTTTCTTATATCTATTGTTATAAAAATATATATTTTGTTGTACTTTAGCTATTTATATATATATATAAATATACATATGTATATGTGTTTATTAAAATTCCCAATTATTAATGTATATACACATTAATTTAATTATAATTTTATATATTATTATTATGTATATATGAATTTAAATTTTTTTGGCAATCAAATTAATGTATAAAGAATAAAACTATGCTTTGATGGTGTGTACTTTGTTAATATTATACTAATAATATTATATTAATTGCTAACAATCTTTACAATTTTTGAAAATTCATAATGTTTGATCTCAACAAGATTTGGTGATCGTTTATTGTGTATTAAAGTTTCTTACTTTACGATTTTTACAGACTAACATAAAAGATATATACATACTAAATATACTTTTAGTTTTAAAAAGTTTGTAATTTATTTCAAATAAACGTCAAAAAAAATATGTAGTTATGTGTAATAAATAACATTATTGTTAATCGATGATATATATCATATTATCTTTAATTTTTAGCATTGAATTTGTTTATATTGAAGTTTTATGTTAGAAAGCCCTGTGGGTTCCCACTCTTATTTCACTGCTTAACAAAAAGAATTGAGTTGAGTTTAGAGGCAGAGACAAGTTGTTTTTAAATCCACACAAATTCAAACACTTTGTACAAAAAAATGACAAATGACAAATTTACAACAAAAACAATGTTGTTTTGTGTAGTATACGACTTTCTTTGTATTTAAAATATTTATTTAATACTTGAAAAGTAAACTATCGTTTGCAAGTGTATTATTTTTTTTTATTATAAGTAGTCCTTTTTTTTTATTAAAATACAGTCAAACCTCTTTATAGCGAACCTCTCTATAACGAAATTTTGTTGAAGATAGCGATTCCAATATTTTTTCATATATGTTATTTGAACCTTTTTATAACGAATTTATTTAAATACAAGTTAAACACTCAACTAATACGTTTTAACTTATAAGAAACTTCTTTGTATGCAAGCTGTATTATACTTGATATGAGCTTGGTATATGTTATTCAGTTTATAATTGAGTTGGAGACTTATTTGGTGCACGAGTGGAATGGTGAAGGCGGAAAGAAGATCTATGTACATTTGCAGAAAGTAAAAATTTTAAATGAAAGAATGATACCAAACACATGTGTTTGCTCTCGTTTTTAAAACGAGTGTTGGAGAATTTTTAGAGAGGTTTAGAAATTTTTGAGTCTATTAACTTGTCGGAGTCTAGTAATTTCTTTATATGAATAAACATGAATTAACGTACATAATTCCCAGTAAAATGCAAAAAAAAATGCTCAACAAAAGAAAATTTGTTTAACTTCTCTATAGCGAAGACCAGACCTCTCTATAACGAAGTTTTCTGCGGACACTAACGACTTTATTGTAGAGAGTTTTGACTGTATATTATAATTTACAAATTGTTTAAATTAAATTTTAACTATTAACTTAGTTAAAATAATAGCATGGTATAGTCGATTGATTTACAACTAATTATTAATGAAAACATTTTGAGTGTATAACTTAGTATTTTTAGTAAATGATGTAATGGATTTTTCTTTTTTGCCTTTACATTATATATGTATATTGTTTAATGTAACATTTATTACATTGTCATTATATGCAGTTTTTTAAAAAATTATAGTTATATAAAAATAAGATAATTTAATATATCTTCTCATACCTTTTAAAATATATTTATGATCAATAACATTAATACATTAAGTATTAAGTTATACATTAAGTTTATCAAATTGTAAATCATATTTGAATATTATATTGTATTTATGTTCAGAAAAGTAAGTCAAATTCTTTTACAATGCCAATTCTGTTGATTTGTATTTTAATATTCAAACTTGTCCCTCAGTTATTGATTTCATCGAATAAAAATTTACATATGGACAATTTTTCATCCATTTGTAAACGAGTAAACTTAACAAATAGATGAAATTGAATAATAAAACATCCTTTATAATCCAACTTTTAAGTATATAACGTTAAATCATATATATCAAAAAATAAATTAAAAAACTAATAGTACAAAATTTAAATAAATAAACAATCATTTATTTTTAACAATCTGTATCACTATATAAAGATCTAAATCTCTGAAAAAAAATAAGAGTCTAAGTTAACTTTTCTATATACTGAGCACATTTTTAGTACGTAAAAGTATGTTTGGACTATATTTCGACAACCACAAAGATAAAATAAAGACGAAAATCAAAATACATAAATACCAAACCAAAACAAATTCTGAATATAAATGTAGATTTTATTTTTTAAAATTAATTTTATTTAATTAATTAAAAATAAAACAGAAAAAATTTCTAGTTATTTTTATTATTTTTATAACGAAACAAAATTAAAAAAAAACAAATTGTTTTCGTTTTTTCTTTTTTTCCTCTGTTCGCTAAGTTTGAGTTAAAGTGTAAATGCTTAAACTTGTCTTAAGTCTAAACATACTAAAACTTAATCACTTAAATGATTTTGAGAATTTTTTCTGTTATTGAAGTATTTATTTTTTGTTTTGAACAGTTAATGACCATTAACTCAGGCTATGTGAAATACTCAACCTCATTTACTAATTATGAAATTTTCATTAAATTATCTACATACATTATTCAGATTTTGAAGTTGACTTCAAGTTCAAATAAAAAAAGTCAAATTTATTCGATCCTTAGTTGTAAACACAATATGGATCGATTTTATAGTCTTTATTAAAGTCTCAAAACTGACTTAAGTATGAATTATCAGTAAAGTGGATGACTTAATGCAGTGTTTTCAAGAACGAACGAGTCTGCGTCCCGGAACCACTCATCAACCATGACGACCAAGGGCCGTTTACCACCCCCAAAGGAATTTTATGAACAGATTCCAGCGGGTCATTACAAAAACTTAATCCAATATTGAAATTTAAGTCACGACTGTGAACCCTAAGAATTGCATTTAATCTATTTGTGTGTGTACACTTTCAAGTAAATTTTTATTCACATTTTTGAGTTAATAATGATATTAATATATTTTTATTCGTATTAAATTTAATATAAAATTATATTAAGCAATTATATAAAAAATCTTTTCAATGTTAAAATAAAAAATGTTAATTTTAATGTGAAAATAAATTCTCTTTAATGTGAAAATAAATTCTCTTTAAATATTAAAAAATCTGCAATTCTTTACGATATATACAAAAACAAAAACAAAAACGTCAAATAATCAAGTGTATAATTAAAAAAAAAAACGTAAGTTAAATATAATTTTTTCAAATTTATTTTAAATTAGTTCAACTTATTAATAACAAATAGAAGATTATATATAACTTAAAATACAATATATAATTGAAAGTAAACATTATAAATAATGTGCTTAGATAAAAATTATAATAAATCGCCAATTTAATTTAAACATATTATGAAGGATATATATTATAAAAATTTTAATATGTTATATATTATTTTTGTTTATATGACTTACATTTCTCTCAAGTATGTGCGATAATAAAATTATTTATGTTTAAAATTATTAATTAAAATAAAATGGGAAGGAACTGTTAATATTTAATTATATTAACAAGTTTATCGTATTATATATTATATAATTTCTATATTACATTTTGCATATTTTTTTAATTAAATAAAGCTAGTAATTTTCTAAATATTTGAAAATTGTAAAATATATTCTAATTCAAACAAACTCAATATTAGCTTAATACAGACAAGTTTTTATTATAATTTTTCATGTCTATTTTTTGTATATATTCAATATATATATTTGTGTGTTTATATATATACATATATCAAGATATGTACCCACCTATGTATGCAAAAATACATATACAATACATGAAAAAAATATAAAAATACCTAAATAAATATGTTTGTTTATATATTACATACATGTGCATATTTATTTTTTAAAGTTTTAAATTTAATCTAGTTTTTTAATTATCTCATAATTCATTGAAATGATCACTATAAATTGAAATAAATACAACAAATATTTACTACATATTAATATTCAAATAATTAATATTATCTATACAATTTTCCACATCAGCGACAGCAGTGGAACGTATATTGCAAAAACAAAAAAAAACAATTCTTATTACTGGCAAATATTAATTTTACTGTCTACATTTATAAAAAGATTTCAGAATGCATATTCTTCATAAATAAAATTTTTTTTTTCTTATATTATTTCAGCTATAATAAAGTAAAACTAATAACAATTAAAGAATTCTTTGATACATAATCATATAACCACCTATGGTAACTAAATTTAAAGTTTTGTGTATAATCAAATTTTTGAATTTATATTTTATATATTTAATTCAGTTTTTAAATGTTGAGTGTTTAAAAATTTGTATTAAATTATATTTAACAATACAATTGTTTCCATATGTAGTTTGAGTTCAAATTAAAAAATGTTAATAATATATAAAAATAATAATAATCTATAATAGTACTTAAAATAGAAAACATCTGGGAAATGTACTAGAAACTTACCTAGTTAATCTTAATAAGAAACTTTAAAACACAAATAATCAGTCACCAAATAATTATTCTGTTAATATATAAAAAACGGTATCTTAATTAAAAAATACGATACAATTAATTTGCCTAGGCTTTCTTTTAATCATTCGAACACATTAAGCATTCGTTGTTCTCTTGGTTTAATTCTAAATGGTTGAAATCTTGTTGGAATTATTACTTTAGGTTCTGTTTTTATGTGTTTTTTGTTTTGTTTTACAGGACGTTCCGGAAATACTGCTCTAACATGATTTACATTTTCAAGTTCATCCAGAGATTGACTTCTTTGTAATCGCTTGCTATAAACAGATCTAGGTAATTTTAATCGCTTTAAAATCATTTGTATACTGCTCAAATACGTGTTCATTCTTCTTGTTTTGTTATAGACACGTTGATTTTTATGTTTACGGAATCCTTCACATTCTGGCGTTTCATATGGTGGAGACAATTGTACATGCCTATTCAAACATATTCTATTAACCAATTCAAGATTTAAATTATATACATTATCAAAACCCAAAGTATACTCTTCGACAGTATTATTTAAAACAACTCCTTTACTCTTATGAACACTATTTGATGTAGATGTCGTTTTTTCAGTACATAAAGGACTAAATTTCTGGTTAACTCCATCACGATTATCTTCACAAACTGCATCTTGTGGTATTACATTAATCAGTTCGCTGTGTTCATTAGAGAATCCTTCAATGTATACGCTCAATTGATTTCCTTTAGTTGTTTCTGCTGCTTGAATTATATTAGTCTTCTCCTTAGTTGCCAGAGTTATATCGTTCTCTTCTTCAATTTCTGTTATTTCAGTCATATCGGTCACCTTATCAATTTCTATTTCATTTATACTACTAGTCTTATTTAATTCTGAACTTTCTTCTAAGCTTTCTTCTTCATTTGCGTCTTCCATAAGAATAATACCTGATATCTCTTCCACTAAGGAAAGTTCGTGATCTGTCATTTCTACATCTCCGGACAAATTTTCTCTATTTTGTTGTTGTATATCACAAGATTTCTTATCGATTGGTTGAGTGGTTATTATAGCTTCTTCTGCCGGTGTTTCTTCTTCATAAGATTCATCTATAAATTCATCTGTATGTTCTTTTTCAGTCATATTTTCTTCTATTTCACTTCTATCCAATATTGGCTCCTCTGATCCAACTTTTACACAATCATTCTCTACCTTTGTTCTTTCTTGTGTTGGTGCTATATTTTCTTCATCAACAGACTCATCATCTCTATCTTCTGGGATAAACTCTTCTGTAAGTTCTGTTTCTGATTGTTCTTCATCTGATAACTCATCATTTGATAACTCTTCATTTGATAGATTTTCATTAGAAATATCTCTTTCTGCTATTGCCTTTTCCATTCCATCTTCTTCGTCTACGCCTTCTTCTTCAGCTTCCTCTTCTCCTTCTTCAACGTCTTCAAGTCCTTCTTCTTCTTCTTCTTCTTCTCCTTCTCCTTCTCTTTCGACTTCATCTTCTTCTGTTAATTCTTCACCGGTTACTTCAACCAGTGAATCGATCATTATATTAAACCAAGAATGTTCAAGTACTTCAAATAATGTTATACGTTTTTTTAGATCTTTTATTAAACAGGAACGTATTAAGTCTTGGAATTCAGGACTCGAATTTTGCCATTTTTCACTTTCCGTGTAAAAATCTTCATTAAGAATTCGTTCTCTTAACGTATTTTCGCTTAAATGACTGTCGTTGTGACCTTTTCTGAATGGGGCATGACCTATATACATAGCATATAATGTGGCACCAAGACACCAAATGTCGAAAGCTTTTGAATAAATAGCGTATTCGGTATCCTTTAACGCTTCTGGGGGTGCATAATCTAGTGTATATCTAGGAGAGTCTTTCCAACTTAATTGATTATTGTAACTATAATATTAAGTAGAAAAACATAACGTTAGAATTTGAAACTGATTCTTATAAATTCAATTAGAACTTACCATGCGGATCCAAAATCAACAATTTTTATGAATTGCGTCTCCAGATCAGAAAATAATATATTTTCTGGTTTTATATCACCATGTATAAAATTTTTAGAGTGAATAAATCTAAGCGCATCACATATCTGTTTAAACAAATTGCAACATTCGAATTCTGATAGACCAATATGCATTTGTTGTACTAATTCACCACCACATACAAACTCCATTAAAATCCAGACGTCGCATCCATTTTTATAAACACTAATATATTCACAGACTGATTCATGACCATCAAGACAACATGATATTAACGCATCTACTTCGGACGCTCGGTATTTTGACATGGGAATCACTTTTGCTATATACAGGGTATCAGTATCACAGTCAGAAACAATATGACAGTTGCCAAATGTTCCATAACTATGAACTGGACCAAGTTTCAAGTTATTTGGTTTATCTGGTGGGTTCTAAATGTAAAATGTAATATATAAAAATGTATGTTCTAAAATGTAATATATAAAAAAAAATGTTAACCACATTTCTTTTAAAGTATAATTGAATAATTAAATATAGAACTTACAAGTATTGGAGTATTATTGTACTCAATTGAATAGTTGCATAAACGTTTACGCATATGTTGCGGCGCTACGTACGTATAACCACGAAATAATTTGTGTGCATTTGGTGGAGCTGGTGCAGGTAAATCGATGGCTTCCAATGTAGTAAACTCTTCAGCAAAATTTTGTGTATCATCTTCTTGCTCTATAGTTGGTACAAATGGTGCTCTCCGCCGTTTACTTCTTAACTCAGTCCAATCAACACCCTTAAAAAATGGGTGGCTCTTAATTTCAGTAGCATTTTTATTATTTCCCCCTATAAAAAATGTTTTAAATATAATTATTTATGCTGTATTTATTTTTAAAAAAATATCTAGAAACTTACCTAAACGCTTTTTTGGATCTTTATGCAACATTTTCAATATGAAATCTTTAACTGTTTCACTAAGTGAGGATGGTAACATTGGTTCTGCTTTTTGTATACGACGTGAAATTTCATTCTGTGCATTTTCTTGTTCTGCTGAAACCGTGAAAGGTGAGGAACCTGTAAGTAACTCATATGTGAGAACACCTACTGACCACCAATCAACTGCGAGATCATGCCCATTTGCGCCAGAACGAATTATTTCTAAATAAATAATTAAGAATTTAGAAAAAATATTACGATATTATTAAAAATGTACTATTTTATTATGAATTTACCTGGTGCCATATATTCTAAAGTGCCACAAAAGCTATGTGTCCGATGATCGGAATCCGGTTTAAATATTTTGGATAATCCAAAGTCTGCTATAACTATATGTCCATTATGATCCAATAAAATATTTTCTAACTTAATATCGCGATAAATCACACCTAGCTGATGTAAATGTTCTAGAGCTAACACAACTTCAGCTATATATATTCGAACCGTAGCTTCTGAAAAGTGTTCCGCTTTGAATAAGTGTGTAAAAAGTTCACCACCAGCAATATAATCTACATAAAGAAATGAAAAGAATGTTGTTTTATTTTTTACTAAAAATTTTTTCAGATATACAAACCTAATATTATGTAAAGCTTTGAGTCTGTTTGAAAAGCGTAGTGCATGCCAACTAGGAACGGACTTTGTTGTATAGCTTCGAGAACCTAAAACGAAAAATAAGGTTTTAAAATATTTTTTTAAATAAATTTTAAATAAGAACGTTTATACATTACGTTGATTTAATTTTTTGTTTGTAAATATTGAATAAAATTCTTTTTGTTTCATTATAGGAGTATTAAAAAAATGAATTTAGTTTCAGTCAAGCACTTAGTCAGGGAAAGGAGTCTCCTAAGTCTCCCGAAATAAATCAAGGAACCATCTGTAAAGCATTTTTTACATCCCGCTTGATAGTTTCTGATGGTTGCTTTTGTCAACTAACAAAAAGTTATTGAGTACCTAAACAGAATTGTACGGCAGATCCCCATGAATTGAATGTTAAGTGTTCCAAAAGTCACATATTTGTAACGACAGCTTTTGCGAATGGGTTTATTCAAATATTGTTATATGTACGCTGTGATCAGTTTTTCCAAAATTGCTATCAGTGCGAGCAACTTTTGTTGGATTTGGTACATTATGAAATATCTATACAGCTTAGCACTTGTTTCAGACGATCGACATTTTGGTATTTTTTAGTGTTAACCTTACTTTTTAAAATACCCCAGACCGAGAAATCTAAAGGGTTGGCCACTATGTTTATAGAATAAAGCACGAAACGTTGTTTTTCAGCCATTCTTGATTGATGTGTGCTTTGTGCTGAGTCCTGTTGGGTTGTCCAACGCCTGCGACTGAAATAATGCTCATCTGTCCAGGGTAACCCACCACCTTCGGCCAAACGAACCAACACTTTGGCTCCTTCGATTGACTTTTATTTGTGCATCGGTGAATATACACTTTGTTCAACTTTAATGGCTTTAGTCCGAGCTCAAAATATGTTACATTCTTTTTTGCGATATGTTCTGCGTGGATTTATCTCAATTTGCTTCTTCACTTTACGAATCTTTTCTAGCATTGTTACTGTTTTTTTTTGTTTGCCTACTTCCTGTGCGTCGGGCAACGCTACAAGTATCACAGTATCGAGCTGTGGTACGAGATACAAAGGATTTGTTTACATTTAGGTGTTAGAGGGCTCGAACGATAACCACTTGTGTTGTTCCACCTAAATATAAAGCAATCACTTTATCACTTTTGAACAAGACAATGAACTGTCAAATGAATTAATTTTGAGCTTTCTGTCATTATTGATTTGACAGCTAGATCGGCGCGAAGTTTGGACGTACAAATTCTAAAGTCTAAGCTGTTTCGACTATGTTAGTTATTTTTTTAAATCCAATTAGCCGTCATATTAAAAATTTAAATCAATTTAAATCATTGAGTAACTTGTAAAAGTTTAGTTAGGAGGAAGGGGTTAGGTACATTATTATTTCATGTCCTCTGCGATAACGATATAATCAAGGTAACACAACTGGCTACATACTGTACGGTATTGTCAACCCTCTTTGTGCTTTATACCAGCATTATTATATATAAATTTATTAAAATAAAGAAATGTTATAACATAATTTACAATATGGATGGAAGAATGGATGCGCAGTATTTCAATGTTGATCAATGTTACGATATGATTTAATATCGTAAATGACCGCAATACCATACCGTACCGTATCTCTTTATCTTATCCCCCATACACCGCTTATGTACCATACCGCATGGGTTTGTTGGAGCATATCTTAAGACGAATATATTATTTTAAACAGTACGAAGATGAAAGTGATTAAATGCAAGCAAAGTAAGAGAGTCGAATGAAATGTGTTATGTATATTTTAAAAAAATTCAGAAATGTCAGAATTAGTATAATGCAATGTGATTTAAAGTTATTGTAAACAGGCACTCATATTTATTATTGTGGTAAATCTTAAGTGCCATACTCTTTTGGACAAGGTAAATTCTATTAAACCCACACGTATGTACTGTAAAACCAGTGTATGTTGTAAAAATCTTTTTAGTTAGTTACTGGAAATTTGTAGTAACCAATCACAGTTATTCAGTTTGGCTTGACTGTTTAAGTGAAAGTGAAATTTTGCATGACTCTCTTTTTAGCTGTTACCTATTTTTATTTAACTTTTTGATGCATAATATTTTTGAAAGATTATTTATTCCACAATTACTTTCTTTGTATCTTTCTTCGTTGCTAGGCATCAAATTGCTACTTTTACTACTTTAAGCCACAAAATTGTACATAAGAAGATATAAGGTACATATGTACAAAGTAAGCATTATTGTTTGAATACACTTACTATATATAGAAATAATATTATATACAATTTTTACAACAACTGCAAAAGTAACTTGAATGTAATCATAATAAGTGTAGCGATGGATTTGTTATTGGCAACTTTCACATTTTTATTTCTTGAATTTAACAAGATTTATTTTGGTCGGCTTTTACAGCATTGAATTTGTAAAACATTTAGGCAATTATAGTTACAAGGCTAACATTTTTAACATCTTTATTGTAGCCTTTCTAAAAAAAGTAATCATTTGGATAAAACATTATTCAAATTTGTTTTTCGTTTTAAGTTTTAAGAATTACTAGGGTGAGTTACTGCAAAAAAAAATGCTCCACAGATTTTAAGCATTTTTAATAGTAAATAGATTATTATTATAGTATTATTTCCATACTTCATTAGGAACTTTAGGAGTCTACAAAAGTTTTCCACCGGTTTCCATTTTGTGCTATTGCTCTCAACTCGTTAAACGATTTGCTCGTCTTCTGCTGAACTGTTCTTTTCCAGTTCATTGCCCGTCTGCCTCTGCGTCTAGTCCCGTGGGGGATCCAAGTAAGTGCAATATAAGGCTTACGCAGTGTATGTCCATCTTCAATCATATTTTTTCCTCTCATCTCGTTGTTTACGTTAATTTGGTGCGTTATTCTCCATAACTCTTCATGTGAAATCGTTCTAGGCTACTATATACCTAATATGATGCACAGGCATCGATTGATAATGGATTTCTATTTTATATATATAAAATATTCTATTTTTTCTATTTTTTTTTTTACTGTTCATAAATTATTTATAATCCACAGTATGTGTATCAGATAGATATTGCTCCCTATAGTTTCAATTGGTACCGGCAGAGTTCCTTGGTATTGGTCGTTTATCGGCACATTATACCGATACATTTGTTAAAATCAACGGCACGTTTATCCTTCTCAATACTTGAAAAACCTCTGGGCTGTCTACTATGAGATGGATATATTGAGTCAAGTGCACAAAATGCATCTAACTTTATGTGTGTCTGATTCCATAAAACAGTATTCTATAGGAAACTGAGAAAAATTGGTAAACAATTCAAGACAATGATTTGATTATAAAATTGTGAAAATAGAAATGAATGCTATTGTTATTAATTTTTTATGTTATTTATTAATAATGGTTATTTAATCATTTAAACACAAATTCTTGATTTTTGGTGTAAATATGCTTTTAGTATGGAGAGTCGATAGTGTATTACTCGGTTACAACGACCAATATCGTCCATCAGTTCCGTTGAAGTTTTACAGTTAGTAAAGGTGATAGAAATAGATGGGAAATAACACAAATTTTGTGTTGAGATTTAAGAGGGATTGATCGCATTATAAATTGCTTCAACATAACTTAAAAAATCTTATGAAAGCTAGACACAACCTATTATATACTGATCTATGCTGGTCTATTGCACTATAAATTGTGTCACAAAACTTAAAAAATCTTATGGAAGCTAGACACAACCTTTTATGTACTGATCTGTGCTGATCTATTAGAGATATTCTCAATAGGTAAATTGTTACAAAATACTAATTAGACAAAATATTGATTTACAGGACATTACATAAATTTATAGAATCTTTTCTTGCTTCTTACTTTTCTTGTATAACTTGCATATTTGTTGATTCTGAGAAGATATATAACAAAAAACTCTACAAGCCCACATAACAATTCACATAAAATAAATATTCATATGTATAATTTAAAAAAAAAAAACATTATTAAGAAAATAGTAAAGATTGTGATATTGCGAAATAATACAGTATAGCAAAGAGCCTTTTGTACAACCCATAAGTGCTGACATTCGTAAATAAATTTTTGTCTGCTAATCAACAGTTATGGTAAATCGTAATAATATTCGGAGAAAATGATTTTTAGTTCCAGTTTTTTATAAATTAAAAATTTATGAATTATTTTTTTTTTTATTTTTGCAAACAATTAATTACACTTTATAGCTATGATGCATCGATAAAGACTATAATAACCATAACTGATTCTGCAAAATCGATTATTTGAACGATAAAAAATACTAATAAATTAATTTTATATAAGATAATAAATAAAAATTATTATTAACTTTTACATATTCGAATAAATTTAATTTAGTTTGCATCATTAAATTATAAATGAAATTTTTAACAAAAAAATAATAAGTAGGTTAATGTGTTAATAATATTTGAATGTTAAAATATAAAATATATACATAAGTATATGTACAAACAGCTTAGCAAAAGAGAAAATTATTTTAATGAACCTATCGCTATAAACAATTTAAACGGCTGATTAGGTGAAATAATAATTTTTATAATAATTAAGAGACCGAAAGACATTGAAAGCAAATCTCTCAGCGGTAGAAGAAGCATGCGCAATGCGCAGGAAAGACTTGACTACAAATTTGTCTACTACATTTGATAATTAATTTTAGATTTGGAAAATGTGTCTTTCAGCAAATGTATCTCTAGACTAGCACAAGTGCTATATATGTGCTATATATGAAAATACATACGAAAAAAAAAGTTTTACACACACAAATCACCTGACCAAAATAAAAAATAAGATAAAAATTCAAGTTAGCGCAATGTTCTTAACACATTTTTGTTTTTTGTTTTTGTTTTTTTGTTTTTTTGTTTTTGGTTTTTGTTTTCTATTCTACTTATTCGGCATTATCAACGCTTCTCTTTGCACATTAGTTTATGGAGAAACCGGTCAGGGCCTAATAAAAGCACGTTATATAAATTTTGGACAGAGCAATCCTCCATTTGCGGCGGTTAGCGAAGTATACGCTGCGATAGAAACACACAGACGAACTGCTTGTCTGGCTGGTCTGGTGTTTCTGTTCTTTACTGTCAACACTAGAATTTTCTGCTTCTGTTCTGATATTCTCTCATGCTATAAAAAACTTGCTTGTTCTCTTGAAACCTTAATGCGGTGCGGCGCGGTGTTCATCATTGAACAGAGTGTGCATGTTGCTTTGTGCCGGTGTTGCAACTTGAAATGTAGGTCAAACTCATGTTATAACTATTACAAAAAGTAAATATATATGAATAAATAAAACACAATATAAAACAATAAAAGAGATTTTCCTACAGTGAAAACTTTAATATGATGACAAGATCTATTTAAGATTTACTTTCATAGTCATGAGCTTTTTAAATTTTTTAAAATGATGAGCTCTGGTTTTAAAGCAATAACTAAGATTTTCTTACAGTGAAAACTTTAATATGATGACAAGATCTATTTAAGATTTACTTTCATAGGCATGAGCTTATTAAATTTTTTAAAATGATGAGCTCTGGTTTTAAAGTAATAGCTTTGCAGCTATATGATAATGGTTTCACTAATTTAAAATCTAATTTCTTTTAAATTAATTATAATAAAATTCTTTATAATAGAAAGGTAAAGAATTACAAAAGCAAAATTATATTATTTCCATTTAATTGAATTCTGAACTTTCTGAACTTGGCATGGTACAATTTCAACCTTTGGTACTGGCAGTCGCAAAATATTATTGACAAATAATAGGTCTGTTTCGCGAGCTACTCGAACTAACTTCGAGTATACACAAGTGCATTCCACTAGCAAATTTTCGAGTAAATGAAAGCATCTGAGAGAGAGCGTAACATCCCTGTTGGAATTTGAAATTGCTACACAGACTTTACTCGAACATTGTATTACAAGTAAAATTTGTATTGATGTGTGAATCAGCTGTTTTGGTTTGAATTTAAACTGTTATAAACAAATAGTGAAATGAATAAAGACATAATAAATGTTTTGTTAAGTAATTTAAGTAACATCACACAATCAGAATATAATGTGATTAATATACTTCGAGATATTCGAGATTATTTCAAGATCTACAAATTTAATGTAAAATGCAAGTTGTGGAACATTCTTCTACAAATTCCTTTCTCCTTCTCTGAAAAGAAGAGATTTTTCTAAATATTTTCTAAAATCACCCTATAATCATCTTTGCAAACTTTTTCTTCTACTCATATGGGTCTATGACAATAACTAGATATAATATTAAAATTTAACTAAAGCGCAATCTGCATTTTCAGTGCTTACAAGTCACTACAAGCATATTGCTCAAAATGTTTTAAAGGCACCGATATCAATATCTTTCCAAAAAAATAATAACACTAATCGGTACCAGTAAGTGGACTAGCGGTCGTAACGCCCTTATTTAGTGCGTTTCCTAATTGAAATCGATTCCATTTTACAAATTATTATATATATAATTTAATATATTTGAAAAACATTAGCTAGGATTTAAATTATAGTAGTTATAGTTATTAAATCATTAGCTAAGAGTAACTAATAAATTGTTAATTGTTAGGAGCTCAAAATCTGCCGAAAAGATAGTCCCTAAGAAAAGTTACTTGCATTTTATATGTAAACAGTATAAGATGAAAAAAGTGATTAATTAAAAATCGTTTTGGTCAACATTCCATTCTTTTTTAAATAAAATAAAGTTGTACTATAACAAAAAATTTTTATTATTTATATCATTCCCATTGTAACATTGTATTGTATATATGTACTAGAGATGGGCGCGTGAATATTTTTTGACTTAAGCTTTAAGTCATTTATTTAATTTTTTAATTCACTATTTGTTATAGTATGCTTTAGGAAACACTATGTGAAGTCGTCGACAATGAACTAAACAGTTCTATCTATTTAAAATAATAATTGAATGCTTATGGCACACTAATTATGCAAACCATTTGAGAATTATAACTTCGCTCATTTTTCATTTTTCTCATTTTTCTTAACACACAGATTTTCTAGATAGTTCAAAATTATTTTGACTATTTTAATATTCTTTATATGAACTAATCTAACTGTTGGATATATGGAGAATTTAAAAAATTCAAAATATTTAAAAATGAACAGCACTAATATAAGATTAACGTCTTATACATCCATTTATTTGGAATTTATATATGTATACAGCTTTTATCTAATGGAATCTCACTGTTCTAAAACATAAAAGCAGATTTTAAAAGCTATATTGAAGTAATTACTATAAAATAATATTGCTAAGGTTGATATATTCGTATCAGTATATGATATATGATGACTAAAGTCATCAAAGTCTCTATAATGACTTTAATAGTATAATAAGTATTTTATAAAATATCTTATGTGATTTTTTCGAAATTATATTAAAATTTTACAAATTTTGTAATGTAGTAAAAACCATGTCTTGATATCTTTACAGTTGCCAACTGCCAAAAAAAATTAAAAGCTAGTTATATAAAAAAAAAGAAAGAGAAAAGGCACTTGATACCGTCTCTTCAACCCACAAAGAAATGTGTAGTTTCGTATCACTTTTAATTAGTGGAACTTTATTTAAATTTTTATTTCTGGTATACTTATAAGTATAGAAACACATCCAGAATATAAAGAAAATAATAAGGGCGTTTACTTTAGTATTTACAAAAGTATATGGACAACCTCATTAAATTTTTTGGAAGACCCAAAAATGCTTACTACTCGAACATACTCGTACATATTTTCATTTCTTTTCGTGATTTTCTGGCACCTGACTGGCAACTTTTTTAAGCCAAATTAACAGCAAATGAAAAGCAAAGAGCACCACTTGTGTAAACGTAAGTTTATCTGTACATAAGTATCTACAATTATAGTGTACCGGTAAAATATAACGGGATTGAAAATAACTCAACCGGAATTTAAAGGCACAAATAGCATTAAAAGAAAAGAGCAAAAAATTGTAAAAAAAAAAAAAAAAATATAACAAGTAAGAAAATGATAAAACCAAAACAAAGGAATGAATCGAGGAAAACAAAAAGAAATTTGTTAATAAAAGAAAAACGTTAACAAACAAAACTAAAGAAGAAATCATAAAATTACCCAATCGAGAGATGATATTACAACAACAAAAACATCAACAATTCCACGAACTCGTTACTAAGACTAAATTGGTTACTTCAGTACGAAATCAAAGTTGGCCAAGTCGAGTTGAGTTGAACATAGACGTCGTACGTGCATTTTTCAATATTTTCTTGAAGTATCTTTAACTCTCATATTTGGAACATTGAAAGAGATATGAGGTTTACTCTTGAAGGTTACATAGCAAAGTTTCAAAATAAGTTGAACAAGCTTGAAATCGTGGCTAAAAGCACGTTTAAAAGAAGATCGCTTAACCAATTCGAAATTTAATACATATAGTTGATGGATTGGTAGATAGATTTAACTCACAATTAAATAAAGATAATGTTATTCGAGTAACAAAACACAAATGTATATATAATCTTTCTACTTACAAATTTTCATATATATTTCAAAAACAAAAACAAAACAAAACTATTTTTTTTTTTAATAATAAAAGATAAAGTATGCCACTACTCATATAAGAATAAATCACGTATTCTATTTTAACAAGTAATTAGTAACTTAATTAATTTTATAAAGGACAATACACTCACTTGTCGTTCAGTTGTTGTATGCTCTGCAGTTTTCTTCTTCTGTGACACGGTATCCTTTCTCAGTACTTTCATTGCATACAATTGTCTGTCATCATGTCCTCCCACTTTACGCACCAGATAAACTTGCCCATATGCTGAAAAAAATTATATTATTAGTTATGCAGAATTTAAATAATTTATTTTTTAATTAAAATTATGTTATTATTAATAAAGAATTATTAATTTCTTAGTAGTCATATACCCTGTTTCCACTGCTTACTTAGTAAGTTACTTAAGTAACTTAAGCATACTTTTAGTATGTTCCCACTGCTTACTTAAGTAAATTACTTGAGTAACTGAAAGATTGTGTCGTTTACATTAGAATAAGTTACTTATTGCATGGAAAATAACTTGTATGTGTCAGAAAGTTTTTTGAAAGTTCTAATAGAGTTTCTTTTTATTTAAATAAATTTCACTCAATAAAATATCAGATAAAAAAACTAAATATATAATTGACATTTTTAATCATTTATATATATAAATATTATAAACCTATTACGTATTGTTTGTTTACATTTTACATATAAAACATATGTTTCAATATTGGGATATTTATTTTTAAAATTTGCTTTCGCAAATATAAATATCATTAAATGTTGAGTTCATTAAGAAGCAAATTTATTATTTCTAATTTAATTTTAATAAATACATTTCGTTATACTAAATGTGACTTCAATCATTGTTTTAGTTCGGTAATTTAGTTTAGACCGTTTGCGAGTGAGTTCGAGTCAAATGATGGTAAATTAAGGGAAATAGTAAATTATGTCGGTATGGCAGCGAATTTTTTATTTATCAGAATTTCGAGTAGTGTAAATTAAATAAAAATTAGGTAAATTAGGTGTTACCATTGTAAAAATTTTATGATGTTTAATAAATATATAAATAAACTTGAAAATTTTTAACCAAAAATAATAAATAAAAGCAATTTATAAATAAATAAATTTTTACATAAGTGCAGGGCTAAAAAATACCTAGGAAATTTCTATTTACTTTACTTCAATTTACTCGAACTCGCACACGGTCTTAATATTTGTATTTACAATTAATATTTAAAATATTTATGTTTTTTCATCAAGCTAGCAATATTTATTATATTCAGATATTTACAAAACAAAAGTTATTTGAATAAAAATTCATATTGAATGGTAAAAAATTGGATATTAAAATTTTAATTTTAAAAAAATGTGAATTATAAAAATTAAAAAATTATATTTTAAACTAACTGATATAAAAAATAATTATTAATAATTGATGAAGTGATTTTAAAATTTGTCAGGTTGAAATGGTACAACCTATTATAGTTTCTACTTTTTAATTTATTTTTCTATTAATTTTTTTGTAGAAAATGTAATAATAGCGATTTTAATTTCATTTTCGAAATAATAGCGTTAATTAATTAATAATAGCGTTATATTTTCCATATAAATGTATAAATTTATAATAATAAAATATACTTACCACCAGTCCCAAGTACTCTCAATATTTGGAAATGATCCAAATTGACTTTATCTTCCTCATTTGCTCGACCTGGAAAAAATAAAAATATAACATTTTAATAAAGATATTTTAGTATAAAAAAATAACGAGAAATGATAGTCATATTTTATAAATATTGGTTGCAAGACAATTGCATTACTGAACTTTACAAATACAAGATATTTGATGTAATAACCTTGTGCTCTTATCAAGGCTTATATGTAAAACCTACAAATTTACATATTTTAGACTCATATTTTATTTAATTAACGAGAGTTTAACAACAATAAATATATATTTTCTATAGCAATGGGTCTTTTACTCAGCCAGCCAGCCGACACACCACTTTATTTATAGGTCTATTATACATTTTTTTTGTTTCCCCCAAATCTTCGTTAGAAAGTTTATATCTAAATAAAAAACGTAAGAGACTTAAGAGTAGCAAGTCTATATGTTCTATAGTGAATATAGAAGGTTCTTATTACTTCAAACAATCCAAGATTGTCATATCCTGGTTTTTAGTAATACCAACCGAGGACGTGAATAAGACATTCACAATGACTAAGTATTTTTGGTAGATTGTAATATTGTATTTTTAAATAAGTTTTGAATTTTTATTAAATTAGGAATATAAGACACTGTAGGTATTTATAAAATTGTTACTAAACATAGAATAATATAGTACCGATTAAAATATTTCCACCGTATCTGTGGATTAGAAAACGCGGTTTTAGTTATTTGCGCTTAAGTACGAATAACATCGGAATATGAGGTTGAAAATTTTACTACATAACATTTTAACTTTTTTACTAGAAGCAGACGTAGATCAGGACCCTAGTAGTGTTTAGATTTTGCTATATACAGGTTTGCTTTTGTTACTTAGTAGTTTTGTGCGAGTTATAATTGACACTTTCAGAGATTTCTTTTTGATAATCCCCAACTTTTGGGGATCTTGAATTTTTTTAATTATATTTTTCATTTATATAAATACATTAAGTTCTTGTTTATTCATTTACAAATTTTGCTTTACATATATTAATATGTGTCTCAAAACTTAACATTCGCTGTTATCAGCGGAAAAAGCTGGTACTAAATTTCATGGATACAGGGAAATACTGTATTATTAATTGTGTTTAATCGTATGAAACCTATGTGCAGTTTTAATTTAGACATGTTTGTTTAAAATATAAATATATAACAATTTTATATTTCTTTTGGATTCTAATTAATTGTAATATTGAAGCATTCTATTTATTTTGAGACCCACTATTTACAGCTGAGGCTGTAAAAGCTCTCAGCTGAAATTTGATTGATAATGTGTTAAATATATATTATGCCAAAACTAATAATTTTTGATTAAATAGATAATTAGATAAGAATAAGTAAAGATTTTGTTTAGGGAGTTTGGAAGGGGGTTACTATTCTTTATATTCTATTAAGAGAAGTCATATACTCTTTAGTTTTATTTAAATTTAATTATTTACCCATATAATTTTTTAACTTTAAATTTATTATATATTTATTTATTTTACTATTTATAATTTTATCTTCTTACCACAATTTTCATTTTATTTTGTGTATTCAAAACATTTTACTTTGATAAGAACTAAAATAGAAATAACACGTGTACGGAAAAAATATCTTATGAGCATTTTAAAAATAAAAATAAATAAATAAATTTTTTCTAATGTTCTCAAATAACGTTTGGTAACAAAAAATGGGTGTATTTTAGTATAATTTTATTAGAAATTTCAAGTATACTAGAAGTTCATAATAAAAACTGATTATTTGACAACAAAAAAACCTAACAATCTATTAATTGTTATAATATTTTTCTATTTTTATCTGATTTCATTACACAATACTCGTGCAAATGGATTTTGTTTAAAATATCGCACACCCTGTAAATGTCTATTATTTTTTTTAGAGCGCATGTTGACCATTGCAATGCTTTCCTTGGTGCATGTGTCTATAAAAAATTAAAAATAGCACATTAATGCGTTCATCGAATGGGAAAAGTAAACTAAAAAATTGATTTAAGTTTATTTTAATCTGTAAATGTGCGCATTTGAAAGAACAATGAAAGCACATAAAAAAACGCGTGCTTTCCTTTATAAATAAAATTTTAAAGTATGATAAATTCTGGCGAAGAAACCGATACCGATACTCATATGAGTACTACCACATATATCAATTACATGAATTTACAGTTTATATTGTGAATCAATAATGTATTAGGAAGCTTTTACTCGTATGCTTTATCAATACTGAGAGCTTTACAAGGTGAACCTTGTTATCAGTGAGAAGATTTCGGTTCCATACCACGTGCTTACGCATTTCCAATAGCGAACTACAAACTCTCAAGGACATTGTCAACCAATGCCATTCAACTTGAACGATTGCTGAACTGGAAACGTCTGCATAGTTAATAGTTTAACACTATGTATTATCTTTATACGGTCTTCATATGTCAAATTTTAACAATTTAATATAAGGAAGAAACCACAACATTAAGTATTGTACAGAACAGAAAATTTCGACGATACTGTCTCGTGAAAACTTTAATTATATTTGTGGTTTCGTTACGTCGCTATAAAATAATAGAAATTGCAAAATGAAGTGTTATGTACATATATAATATATTTATATATAATACATTTTGTTTAGAAACTCAAGCAAAGAATTTTAAATTGAAATTACGAAATAGAGTTTCCTTTTAGTTAACCTTTTAGATACCTACTATATCGCAGAGTGCTTATTTCTTCAACCTTACCTGAAGAATTCTTTTTACGGCAATTTTTTAATTACGGTAAAATTAGTTTTACACCTAATCAACGTAATTACAATTTTTTTTTTACATTATTATTATAATATTCGTCATAACATATCTCTGTATGTTCTAATAACAGATCTCGAAAATAGGTAAGGAGTTTTAATGAAAGTAAAACGACATAGAATAGTTATATGAATGATAATCGACTGACCTTGTGTGAAATTTCTAAATTTCAGAATTTTTTACCTGTGCAAGTATTCTAAATTTAGAGAAAGGAAGTAGAAGTGACAAAAAGTATCTGTAAGATAAATGCCATTTTTACTTAATTCAATATAAAACATCTCTATACCATAAATGAGATTTCAATTTTAAAGGAACATATTTTACAGAAGTTTGTTACCATAATTTTGACTATAAATGAGATTTATAAGTATATTTATATTGGTACATGTCACCAAAGATTTTAGTGACTTATGTCCAATTAATGAACACTTGAGAAGTTGCAAGAGATCTAAGATAAATTGCTAATGTATGATATGTTACATATATTTATGTTCTTTATAAAACCTCCATTTATAAACAAGGTCAGAGAAACACATCAGATCATTTTATTAAAAGGAATCTATTTTTTTTTAAATACGTTAATTATTTAATTCTATTTAATGTCGGCTGACAAAATATGTGTTAAAGTCGTATATTTTTTTAAACATTTTATTTTTCTAAATGTAATTCTTATAGAAGTTTAAAATATATACTTCAACTGAATTTAATAAAATATATTTTACTTAATTTAAAAAATTAGTTTTACTTAATCTAATAAATCATTAACACAATTAACTATCAGTAGCGACAAATCAACTTAGATTAGATATATATTATACACAGATAATCTACAGATAATTCTTCGGAATAAAACAGAGAGAAAACATATGTCAACTAAAAGTTTTTTCTAAATGAAAACTTAATGAAATACGAAACATATGGTCAGTATTAAATTTCACGTTTGCCCAAGGTGCCAAAATATACTTGACACCAAGTTGAAATATAATATATCTATTAAAATTTCAACGGTATACTGTCTAATTGGCAGATACACTATCAGACTAATTACCAAATACTTGGAAATATTCAAACAGTTGTGGTTTACAAAATAGTGGCTTAACCCATATTCTCCACCAAAACATCTATTTCTGAAGCAGAGATACATATCTTAAAAAGATTTAATAATAGTATAGGTGGGTTAGAGGGGGGGGGTTGTGAGGCATACACTAGGATCATATGACAGAAAAAAGGATCTCATTGGTCTAAGTGAAATAGATTTGCCTTTAACCTAACATAATTTTCTGGTTTTATACATATGAAATAAAATTATGTTATTCATTGTTTATTATATAAACAATATACAATATATTATATTCTTTATGATATTATATAATAATAAATATTGTTAATAATGTTATTATACTATTTTTATTTTAGAGGGATTTAGAGGGACAAACACAAAAATTTATTTTAATTTTATTGAAGTTTAGCTGACTATACAACGCTGTTTCGAGTATTGCCAAGTACTCTTTATCACTGGTCTTTAGAATAATAAAATTTTTATTAATTTAGTTTATAGTCCGTATATAATTTGTTTGGACTGCAAGTGCTAGGCTTAGAACTCGTGCCTGTCAAATTAGAAGCGATGAAGGCTGCACAAACTTTCAATGCTCAAGTTCCAGCTTTTTTATTGTCACTTATTTTTATTTAATTAGTGACACCATTTTAATAAAGCTTCTTTGTCACCATACAAAGAAAGCGTATCTTTACAGCAACACGAGTACTTTAATCAAAATATTTTTATTTTAGTTATAAAATAATGTGTGGATTTTAATCTTCTTTTAGAATCATAGTAAAACAATGGTAACCTTTTAAAGTAAATATCCAAGACGTGTCTGAATCTGTATACCGGTTAGACTTAATTTTCTGATTCTCAAGACATCGCATCTTATTTCATCATACTATCTTATTCCACCAATCTACTTTAATGTACCATATTATATCATTCAACCATCACATCTGATTCAATATTTCTATTTTATACCACCATACCAATTTTCTCTAACACCGGTTAGGTTTTAATTTCTAATTCTCAAGTTATAACTTATCTCATCTTATTTCACCATACTATCTTATTCCATCAGCCTACCTTATTTTGCCATCTCATATTACTCAACCATCGCATCTCATTCGATCTTCCTATTTTATACCACCATATCAAATCCCTTATTTTATT